ATAATATTTAGAATACGTAATTGTTGATGACACTGGCACATCACTATTCATTCGGTCGCCGCTTTAATGTAAAAATATATTGTGAAAAAAAACTATATTGTATGTTCTATTATGAACATACAATATAGTTTTTTATACTCACTAAATAAACTATTTAAACAAAACTAGTCGTTTTTCCATCGATCAAGCATATAAGTAATTCATAAATAAGTTCAACCTGGTCATGGTTGCTACTTAATACTTAAGGCGTTAAGGGTTAAGATCCCAAGATATAACTTGATGTGTTTCATAGAACATATCCCGGTCAAATTATGCTACAGCAGTAAGGCTGCTTCACCCACCCAGATGAAAGGCTTACCAACGTTATAGCCCTGTTCTATAAATCCCGACCCTACTATAAAAGCTTAGGAGTATTCTTGAATATTTTTGCGTGATGAAATGAACATAACGTTAATTATATGATTCGAATACAATATTTTTATATATAACTAGCTGCACCCGCGACTTCGTCCGCGTGGAATTAAACTTTATTTTCCTAAAATAAAAGTAGCCTAAGTTACTCCTTTCCTTATTACATCAGCTACCTGCCAATAAAAGTCCCGTCAAAATCGGTCCAGCCATTTCATAGATTAGCAGACAGACAGGTAAAAAACGGTTATTTTAAGATAACAAACAGACACTCCAATTTTATTTATATGTGTATATAGATGTATTGAGTGTGCATTTAAACGAAATATCTAACTTCAACATATTTATTTTAGGAAAAAACAACTATCTATGTTACTTACTAAATAAAATAATTACATAGTATAAAACAAAGTCGCTGCCGCTGTCTGATCGTCCCTATGTATGCTTAAATCTTTAAAACTAAGCAACGGATTTGGAAGCGGTTTTTTTTTAATAAATAGAGTGATTCAAGAGGAATATTTATATGTATAGTACATGTACACCCGTGCGAAGTCGGGTCGAGTAGCTATAATTATTTTAACAATTTCAATGTAAATCTGAACATTGAACACAATTTTTTCAATATTACAAACAGACACTCCAAAATTTTATTTGTTTTTTTATAATATTTATTTTAGTAAAAAACAACTATCTACGTTACTAACTAAATAAAATAACCTATAAATAATTTATAAATTTCAATGTAAATCTGAATATTGAACACAAATGTACCTAATTTATAATTATGACTTAAAGATAAAAAAGGAAAACCGTAAAAATGTAACAAATATTTTGAATTATATATATATATAAGAACGGATCGGTGGAATTATAAAATTATAAAATCGTTGGTGAGAGAAGTAGTGGGGGCGTTCGACGTAACGGCTATTGTACAGTACTCGGGAATTGCAAAATTATTTTTCTAAAATAAAAGTAGCCTAAGTTACTCCTTATTACATCAGCTACCTGCGGATCATCAGAGATTAGCCGGAACAAACAGAAAAGTCAGACAGACAAAAATTGTAAAAAGTGGTTTTTTGGTTTGATATGTACCTTATTTATATTCATATGCATGTTATTTCAATATTACAAACAGACACTCCAATTTTATTTATATGTTTAGATTAATGGACAATATATTATAGGTACCTATAACAAAACTATATAATATGTATTCCACTTCAAATATAATTTATCACATAGTTTAATTTCATTTTTACAAATATTACAACTCGGTAATGTATTTTTAAATCAAAGCTTGTGCGAGATATGAAGCAATTCTGTACCCTCACACTGTTTTTTCCTAGTTTCAAGCTTTGTTAACTCGAAGCGAGCGCACCTGCAAACAAAACATCCAATTCTGTACCAAGGGTGTGAAAAAAGCCCAGATTATTTAGGGATTTCGTCCGACCTTGCCTTACACAAGCTTTTTTACTTTTATTTCCATTTCCTTTTTAATTTATGGGAGGCTTTCGAACATTACGTTGTACACAGAAATTATGCATTCCAGTAGTGATTTAATATAAAATAACCTGTAAATACACCCTCGTCGATAGCAAGATGAGCTTGAAAAAGTAAAGCTTTATGAAAAACCTTTTCAACCATTCAATGGTTTTTCGATAGCGGCCAATTTCTATTGATATGTAATCTTGTTTTTACTCAGTGACGTGCGTTAATAAATAAGTCAGTAAATAAATATACAGAGAATATGGCCTCAATAGTACTTAACTTTCTGTCGCGTATGCAACGCCGTAACTCGATGTATCGACCTAGTGCTTCGCTCAACATATATATTCTTTTCTTCTTTAAATAGAATATCCTTTTGATACAATCCTTATTCGCTAGACAAAACTCTAATTCTAGTGGTCGCCCAGTGATCGAAATTCGAACATAAGCTTCACGTTGAGTAAGACTAGTAGACTAATTAATTAAAATTAATGACAAACAATATTAATCTATTTTCGATTATATTTAAGTGTGTGTAACACTTTTTTTATTGATTTAAAGAACTATCTATGTAAATGTAAACATATATTAGCATTCTGTACTCCTTCTCTATATAAACTATAAGTGTGGGAAATTTCATACTCCTCCGTACGCGCAATTTTCCGAAAAAGGGGCACAAAGTTTTCGCTTCGCGTATTAATATAACGATAAACCAAGTAGCGTAGTATTATGTGACAGGGAAGCCTAAATTAAACTGTTTTGACTATATAATATGAAATAATAGATAAAACATATTCACAATTTTCATAAGACCTCTTTTTAACCTATTGCCGAATAATTAGATAATGACCTGTTGATTTTTCAATCTAAAGGTGTTTTATTTCCTTTTTTTCCGTATAGAACCCTTAAATGTTCCGATTATAACTGTTCTTGTAATCTATAGATAATTTACTCACGTCGCGTAGAGTAGGTACGCTTGGCAAAATAATTGGGTTGCCAAAATGGGGCCCGTGTTAAGATCCTAACTTTAATATACAGGATGGTGCTAGTTATATCAACATAAGCTCTTGTCTGCGAAGAGAGAAGATTAAAGTAGATCTCCGAGATTCAGTCCTCGCTGATTTAGATTTATTCGAATGTAATTCCGGTCGGTCGAGCCCAAACTACCTTAATTTGATTCCGTGAGGGTTGTCCTTGTCTTGTCGTGAGACGTCAAATCTCTAAAATTAGTTTTATTTCTCCATTTAACGCTATTTCTTTATATCTTCTAATGTAAAGTATTTTCTTCTTCTTTACTACTATGTAATAATACTCTACTAACAAATGTTAGTAATTAATTGTTTTGTTAATATTCTCTTATCATTCAATATTGAGCAAATGCAATTCCGTCTCTCTTAATTTTTCATCTGTCTTCCTCATGCAGCATTAATATAATCTATTATTATTCGCATATCACCGCCATCAGCACCACTTGGTGGTCGCTTATTTATTTATATTATATACCTACTAAGAACTATCACCCTGAATAATTTTGGATGCGCTATCTTATATATAATAAATAACGTTATACTAACATGTTATGTGAAAGAGATGAAATAACTCATGCTCAGAACCTCTTATATATCAGTATAAAATTTTAATCAAGAGTATCAAAGTAATAAACAATTTTACAAGATAAATGTTGCGACATTTTATTTAAGATATTTCACATTTACAAAATATGTTCAAAATTAAACCGTTTCTGACGTACTTTATCCTCTCTAAGATGATAACGAATAAGAAACGGTTGGCCCGGCGCTAGTAATAAAATAAAGGGCTACACCTGCCGTGTACCAACAGCAATTAGACTTGTAATGTAAATAGCGGGTTGAGGCAACAAGTGGGTCAAACAGGGCCGTCGTCAGCCCGCCTCTTCACCCCTTGCACCCACAGCGGGTCATGAACACCGCTTGTTCATGACCTATTTTATCTTAAAAATCTGCAGCTCAGGTTAATCGAACCGCGCGGGCGCTCTAGTTTCATGAACTATCTATACTTGTGAAATGTAGTTAATACATTACTATGATAGTCTGATGATGCACCAATTTTTAAAGGAAAATTATTTCTATTTTACATATAGCAATAAGGTAAAATTTCCTGAATCACGACGTAAATGTAGCTATCTACCAATAGTTAGTAGATAATCTAATAGTCAATTGCTAAATTAATTAATTAATTTACCAACTCAAGACTCAGGTACGATATTTAATGTCGCCTATTCAAAGTAACAAACCTTCAAGTTCCCCTTTCAGCTTTTTGAAAGTACACACAGCGATTCTACAGACTTCTTCCTTCCCGACTTTCCTGCATTCATCTTCGTGCTCACGTTTTACAACGTCCGCTATGAAAATGGTCTTTGTCAAAGAAAACACAAATGCTTCCGCAAGAGATAGTAAGGCACACATTTTATATATTCGAGTATGCACGCTGATTCATAAAAAATACAAGTGACTAATAATAAGCTTTATAAATGCTGCTATTCAAGTGATTCATCCTTTTCTATCGAGTTATTAATTTCATACTAAGAATATTATGAAAATAAATGGCAAATTCCTATAGTTTTTAAAATGGGGTTACTTTGGTTTTTATGAATTGGGAGTAGGTAGGTATAGTACAAACAAATACTTGTTGTCTTTTTACAAAATTTTTAACAATACAATTACTTTTTGGTTTTAAATCGAGATACATCTGTGGCACCTGTAAAATATTCTCACGACAAAAATCTTTAAATGATATCGGTATCTTAACCTTGTTATAGGGAAAAAGTTTGAGCTGATTCGCAAGTGAAGCAATAAAATCGCTCCTTAGTAGAGTTCTGTAGACAAGAATATTGATTTTCCCCGATCTGATGTATTTCATTCTCCATCTGTTGCTCTCCATAAAATTTACGACAATACTACTGAGCCGTTATTTTTGTATGAAGAGTTTTATGGCTTTGGACTATAGCGACATAAGTTTTCCTTAGCACGAAGTGTCTACTGTGATCACTAGATCATTCAGTTTATTGTTATCCACATATTAATTTATTTATAGATAATGACTAAATGTATTACGTTCTAATATTTCAGATGGTGGCGACAGAAGACACGTCAAGTACTGTACCGGGGCAAATAGAAACACCGGGAACATTTGGTAAATTGCGCCAAACGCTTTCCTCGTCTCTGCTCACAGCTCAAGACAAAGGTATCACTGCAATACAAATGTTTATACGTCGTATATATTTATTGATAACTGTTTAAATGTTTGTATGATTAAAATCCCACCGCTAGTCAAAGCATAGGATAAAATAGAAGATTGACGTAAATATATCAAAATTGAATTCTTTAAATTATTTTGTGCACTCTATCAGTATTTCATAGCAATAGCATTCTAAGAGTTAATTCAAGCAAGCTCTCTTCCAACAAACGTAAAAAATATTAGACACTCACAAAAAGATCGTAGGTATCAATCCTTACAAGTTTGTCCCGTTGACAAAAAGTTTCTGTTGCGTTTGTAACGAAATTATGGACATAATATTCTACCTTCAGTGATAAGATCGGCATCCCGATATTCTTGATCTAATTTCTAACCATGAGTATCAATGACACTATTACAAAAATCACAACAAGTCAATCACAACAGTAACAGCACAAAGATATAAATATCGTGGTGTAATTAGTAAAAATTGTTAAATCTATAAAAAATAAGTTATTAGAGCTATTAGTATATTACAAAATAATCCTACCAAACCTGGTACTCTAACAAGATTTTGAGACTTTTGACTCCTATTGAAATATTACTATAGACCCATTATCATCCGTGACCCACAACAGCAAGTTCATTATGTCAAGTCAAAATAAGTTACAATAGCAAAATAAATTATGTTTCTGTTGATATATCTTCTTACTGTTCATATGATACATATTGTTGTTCGAGTAAATCATATTGTTGATAAGAAAATATTACATAATCATACTTAGTGATCATTAATTTCAATTTCTACATAATCTGACTTTAGAAATCTCTATACAAAATATTCTGGTGATCATGTTCATTAAAGGTTCTTAATGCCACAGCTACTGATATTACATATAATATAATTTTAAACTTAGAAATTAGGTATACTCCTCTACATATAACCGCACATTATTATTGCGAGAGATGGTGATAAAGGCCATTATTCTCCTATGACCATCAAGCGACTTGATATACTCGGTTATTATGGTGCGATGTGCTTTGTTACCCTAATCGACTCCTAGGACAATCTGGGGATGAAAAGAAGCGCTGATATACGTCTTCTTATACTATAATTATACTAAAAATTTGCTCAATTGAAATATATACAATTAATATGCTTTTAGTTATTGTTTATCAATGAGAATTTAAAAGTAAACATTAAAGTTTTGTAATACTTATTCGATATGTGTAAACTAGGGCGAGTTAGATTGATGTATGAGTATAAGCCCTCCAGCATTCCAGGCAGCCGTATGGCGGAAAATCAACATTCCTGCCTCTTGCCCCACCGGACCTGACATTGTAACTTTCTATTATCTCTGATGCTTAAACAATGTCTATTTATATACGCCAGTCAAACTCTCCTTCAGTCATGCTTCAGAGAGAATACAAAAAAAAATATTATTGTAATAAAATATTTTTAACCTTATTTGTAGTATACGTATAAGTATACGACGAGAGTTATAGGTGAATAATTCAACCAATAGATATCTTATTTAAGCAAATATAGGTATTGTGGGCGACATTTGGCATTTACTGTACACTGACAATCAACTATAGCACTTATACTAACAACACTACCATACTCTCGATATTTACTGTATGGCAGTGGCAGTACAATTATTGACTGCCTCCGTAGCCAGTCTCATAAACTTAGTCATCATAAACAGCAACACTATACATATATTTTTTTCTTCATGGCTTAAAATGGAATGGTGTACTCGCTTGCGCTAGCAACTTACGCTGGCAGTGCACCAGTTGAGGACGATAAAATGAATATGATGTTTTGTCAGTTGGCCCATCGTAATAAATTCAGTAGGAAAGTATCACGATGGTTTTCAGGGGGACCTGCGTGATCATGTCATGTCAAGTTGACCACCTTGACATGGTACATTGCTAGCGATGGAGTCAATACCTCACTATAGCAATCCCCTTTTCCCACACTATGTATGTAAAACATATTTACTTATGATGCTCTATAAAGGTACTCAAATGATATGAACAATGACATCATGTAAATAGTTTAAAGCTATATCTATATTACTTTATTAACTGTGTGTAAAATTTAGGAAATATATTATCTACATATATTATAGCAATCATTCTTCAGTTTGCGAACTATTCATATACGAGTTCAGAGATTGGAGCAAAGTTTTGTGGTTGTTTACCTGGGGGCCCTTTAACCCTTATTTACGTCTCTCTTGGCTCCCAAGCAAGATTAATTCATTTCATTCTATGGAAAGTTTAGCGGTTATATTCACAATAAAATATGCATAGTATGAACATACATTTTCATACTTTATAGCGATTATTATTTCAATAATGCAACCTATTTTGCAACATAAGCGTATATCAATATATATCGTCGTCAAATCGAAGTATTATCGCATTATAAAGTAATAAACCTTTCTTGAAGTGCTTGCATTTTGTTTGCGCCTTTCCCTCTGTATATTTTAGTTTCTTGTTTGTTATTACGAATAAAATCCTTTGATAGTAATACGTATTTAGTTTTAATAGTTTAATCTTTACATAGTAGCATAACACGTAAAAGTTTATAATGACAAGACAAAATTCGAAGCGCCGAGTGAAGTTGTTGCCAGTCCTGTCGATGGAGGCAATCCGTGTTCCACTTCACATTGATGACGCCTTTGATTCCTTATGAGTCTGATAGATGGCGTTAACATGGCCCCGCCTTTGAAAGCTAATGGAATGTATAGACTTTCAACATATGCTATAATTGAGGTTTTCCTTCCTTTAATTCGTTTCTGTGCCTTGAGGTAGAAGCGGACATATCTTAGAAGTGGCACGATGAATGATACCAGTTGCTGTGAGTATCTCTGCCACTCTGCATATTCCGTCTTTGCCCGGGAAGGTACGTGTAATTCTACCCAGTCGCCATTTTAGTGGTGGTAGATTCTCTTCTTTAATAAGTACTAATGTATTTAGACGAATGTCTGGTTGATGCAATTTCCACTTCGTTCTTGTTTGAAGTTCCGCCACGTACTCCTTAGACCAGCGTTGCCAAAAGTGTTGCCTCATTTGTTCTATGCGATCATATCGTATCAAACGATGTGTTGGAGTAGACGTCAGATCCTTGCATGGAGGCGCGGTCAGAAGCCGACCAATGAGGAAATGCGAAGGAGTCAAGGGGAGGAAATCGTTTGGATCGGAGGATAATGGATATAAAGGACGAGAATTGAGTATAGCTTCAATTTGTGTTAAGACAGTAGTGAACTCTTCAAAGGTCAAATTACAATTCCCTACAACTCGTCTGAGATGATATTTGCATGATCGGACCCCTGATTCCCATAAACCGCCGAAATGAGGAGCGTACGGTGGAATAAAACGTAATTTAATGCCATTATTGGTGGCAAAATCTTCGATTTCTTTAGCATTTTCATTTAAAAATAATGATAAGTCCTTTTGAGAACCTACAAAGGCCTTACCATTGTCACTAAATATCTCTACGGGCTTGCCGCGGCGAGAGATGAAACGTTTTAAAGCCAGTAAATAATCGTTTGTAGAAAGACTAGATACTAATTCCAAATGCAGAGCTCGAGTAGTAAAACATACGAAAACGCAGATATAACCCTTCACCAGAGAAGCACCCCTACCCTTACGGCTCAGTATCATCACCGGTCCGGCATAATCGACACCGCAACGTATAAAAGGGTACCCTGGTTCTAAACGCTCGGCGGGTAAGTTACCCATTATCGGTGTGATAGTTTTCCCCTTCATGCGCGTACATGTAACACATTGCCGAACTATCTTTCTAGCTAAGTTTCTACCAGCGAGTGGCCACCAATTTTCACGGATTGTAGATAAAAGTAATTGGGGTCCTGCATGGAACAACCGTTTATGTTCATCTCTAAATAAAAGCGTGCTAAAGTAATGTTTACTAGATAGTAATATTGGATGTTTTTTATTATAATCGAAATAGTGTGAGTTGGTCAATCTACCACCAATTCTGATTATGTCATTTTTATCTAAAAATATATTAAGACCGGAAACTTTATTTGAAACACCTTTCCCCTTGATCGGTAATTGTTTCAATAGATTATCATATTCATTTGCAAACGATTCCGATTGTGCAAACCGAACTAACATATTTGTCGCTGCGTCCAACTCGTTAACGGATAATGAGCCTGTTTTACGTAGGGACTTAGACGAGCGGGCGTTGGTTATGAAACGTATTACGTAGGCACTACTTCGTTTTAATCGTTTAAGTGAGGAGAATCGCAAGAAGTCGATTAAACTATTGGATATGCTGGAAGAAGCACATATGATTTGATTTTTTACTTCCGGCAACAAAACTGAATCATACGTACTATGATCGATTTTAAAGTCAAACTGCCGGTCTTGTAAAAACAAAGGACCCCTCCACCATAGCGTACAGTCGATAAGCATATCGAGGTAAACACCCCTAGACACAAGATCGGCCGGGTTATCCTTACTATTAACATGTAACCAAATTGAATCACCAGTTAACTCATTTATTTCGGTCACGCGGTGTTGCACAAATGTTTTTAATAAATGAGGTGACATACGGATCCACCCCATAACTATAGTCGAGTCCGTCCAAAAATACACTTTATTGAATTGAAACCTCATTGAAGATGTAATTTTCGTATATAATCTGGCTCCTAACAAGGCGCCGCATAATTCCAATCTCGGAATTGTGACAGGCTTAATCGGCGATACCTTACTTTTAGCACACAGTAGTTTAACTGTTACTGACGAATTGTAATCATTATTGTAACTACGAATATAGGCGCAAGCGCCGTATGCACTCTGAGATGCGTCGGTGAAAATATGTAATTCCTTTACGTCGCTGTTTTCATTCAGCACATAACGCGGAATTCGTAAATCATGTAATTTTTTTAATGTATTAAGGAAATGTAACCAATTTAATTTAATGGGTTCTGGAACAGCATCATCCCAGTTAATTTTACATAACCATAATTTTTGCATCAAAATTTTTGCAATTATCGTGACAGGTGTCACAAGACCGAGTGGATCGTAAATTTGCGATAAAACAGATAAAATAGTTCGTTTCGTTATTGTGTGTACATTGGTCACCGCGGTGGTGAAATGTAGTTCGTCGCTAGTGTTGTACCAACCTATACCGAGAGTTTTTGTTTGTTGATGATCTCCAATACCCAATTCTTTAGAAGTAACAATCTCTAGATCGTGATTAAATGTCCATTTACGCAATGGAAAATATCCCGATAACAGTACTTGTGATATTTTACTGCACACCTCCAACAAAATTTGTTTATCGTCATGACCTGTAATGAGATCATCAACATAGAAATCCTCATTTATGATTTTAGCAATGTTATCATCACTACAATCCTTTGCTAATTGCCTTAGACAACGCATGCTTAAGTATGGTGCTGACGCCGTTCCATATGTAACCGTATTCAGCCGATAAACACAGAGTGGATCCGATGGTTTCTCTCTCCAAACAATAAGCTGTAGATTTCTTTGATCAGTCTGTATAAATATTTGTCGGAACATTTTCTCGACATCAGCGCAAGCTACGAACTTGTACTGCCTGAAACGTAATAATATTGAAAAGATGTCATTTTGTAGAGGCGGTCCGACGTACTGAATATCGTTCAATGACAAGTTTGACGTGGTCACAGCACTAGCGTCAAAAACAACACGTAACTTAGTTGTCGTACTGTGTTCACGTAGAACTCCGTGATGAGGTAGAAAATAATATGGTTTATTATATTCATTTACCCTCGTCATATGCCCCAGTTCAATATACTCGCGTATAAAATCACAATACAATTTTTTATAGAACGGTAATCGATGTAACTTGCGTTCCAACGATAAGAAACGGGATTTAGCGAAAGAATACGATTCACCAAGATGATCAGCTGATTTCCGTAAGGGAATTCGCACTAAAAATCTACCATCTATGTCCCGTTTTGTTGTGGTTTCATATAAGTATTCGCATGCGTGTTCGTCTTCAGTATGTATTTCATTTCTACTAGTTATTTCTTCTAGTTCCCAAAATCGTTTTAAATTTGAATCTATTGTTTGTGTTAAATTACACTGAATCTGATTATTCTTACGCGGATAGTCGCTACCGACTGGACCTGAAATCAACCACCCTAATTTAGAGTTCTGTAGGAACGGTCCACTCGGTAAGCGAATTCTACTTTCGTATAACATATCCCAGAATACATCTGCACCGATTAATAAATCAATCACGGACGGTTCATTAAAGGATGGATCCGCAAGATGAATATTATCCGGGATACGTAATAACTTATAATCTACTGGCTTTGAAGGTATAATCGACGTAATGCATGGCAGAACCATGCACTGAACCCGCGTACTATAATCACAGGTTTTTGATCGTATATTAATCTCACATCTTTCATTCGACTGAGTGAGTGATTGTCCCACACCCGAAATTCGTATAGTGGACTGTATAGATTTTATATTTAATCGTTTAAATAATTCGCTAGAAATGAAAGAGTGTTGACTTCCATTATCTAAAAGAGCACGTATTGTAAAACATCTGTTTTTATTATCGACTATATCAACTAGTGCAGTGCATAATAGAACTTGTTGCATTGTAAACAAAGTCGCATTTAAATCGTCTGTATTATTAATTTGAGAATGAAGTGCAGTCGATGTACCGTGCAGGTTATCAGCCGATTGTGAATAATGCGCACGATCAGCTGATGTGCCCGTGTCCATCTCATTATCCGTATGAATTAAACTGTTATGTTTTCGTTGACATTGTTTACACGGACCAAACATACATTCGTTTATGGTATGCCCGCCGCGCAAACAATTTCGACATAACTTTTTATCATTAATTAAATTTATCCTCTCGTTTACAGATAAATTTAAAAAGGAAATACAAGTATAAAGGGCGTGGTTTCCGTTACACATAATACAATTACGTATTCGTCTATCAATAGGTTTATTAAGCTTACTGTTGTTATTCGATCGCGTTGTAATGTAGCTATGTGTTAACTGTGATTGATTCGAAGACCTTTTAAAATCCTGTACAGATTTACGTTCGTGAACTATTTTATTCGATTGTACTTTATGATTCAAAAGTGTAACTTCTAACATGTCGGCTTTATTTCTTAAAAAGTTTAATAAATCATCTAATTTTAATTTATTATTAGGATCACTAGAAATCGACCCCTTATGATTCTCCCATTCTCTTTCCGTACCTGAGTCTACTTTAGTCAGGACTAAATAAATAATTAGGGTGTCCCACGAATCTGTTGGTTCGCCCAAGGATTGGAGAGCGCGCAAATTACGCAAAATCGTATCAATTAATTTTCTAATCTGTTGTGATGATTCTTTTATAACTGCCGGAGCTGTGAACAATGATCTCACGTGGTTATAAACAAGGAGGCGGTTATTATGAAACCTGTTTTCTAATAGTTCCCAAGCATGATTATAATTGGATGCAGTGAATTCTAACGCACTAATTACTTGTAACGCACAACCGCTAAGAGAAGATTTTAAATAGTGTAATTTTTGAATAGCGTCAAGATCAGTGCGTTTATGGATCATGGTTATATATGAATTTCTAAATTCTAGCCACTGATCGTAGGACCCGTCGAAGCAGGCCAGCCGTATGTCTGGAAGCTTCACAGCTACGGATTTCGAAGAGTGCGAACATTTGGAATCAGTAGCTTCATCTGTTTCAATCAAACATTTCGCCGCGGCAATATTACTATAGTACTGTTCCTCGATCAACTCTCTATATTCTAATTGATTGTCCAATTCTCTTTTTTCTACTAGAACATCTATTTGATTTTGAATATCACAATAATTGTTAAAACACTGCGCAATAGTTTGCATTCGTAAGTTTATTTCTGTTATTTGCATTTTTGTTAAAATAACAGATTTGAATTTATTGATATATTTTTCGAATAATGTTAATCTACCTTTTACAGTAGCTCTTAGTTTTTTCAGTTCAATAAGTTTGTTTATATCAATTGAAGTAACGTCTCTAAATTCGTCATCACTCATTTTAATGGTTTAAAGAAATCAAGTGCAGGTAGGTACTTACGATTTAAATTTCCAATAAAATTAAACTTAGATCCAATAATGCACAACAGAATACAACTATATTATAAAGTTCAACACTGTTAACACAAATTTCGTTTAGGACGAGTGACACAAAGGGATGATGGCTCTGACCGTTTTCCTTGTTGATTCTTTATTTCTTCGATAATCCGGCTCGAAGGACCATTATGTTTGCGCCTTTCCCTCTGTATATTTTAGTTTCTTGTTTGTTATTACGAATAAAATCCTTTGATAGTAATACGTATTTAGTTTTAATAGTTTAATCTTTACATAGTAGCATAACACGTAAAAGTTTATAATGACAAGCGCCGAGTGAAGTTGTTGCCAGTCCTGTCGATGGAGGCAATCCGTGTTCCACTTCACATTGATGACGCCTTTGATTCCTTATGAGTCTGATAGATGGCGTTAACACATTTGTTCTGAAATATTACCTACATCATCATTTAATTATGTTAAAATTTGAACAAATTGAATTGTTCAAGTCTTAAATCATAGAGATCAGTTGACTATGTAAATAACTAAACATATATAGTCAAATAAAGTAATGTCAAATCATAAAAAAGTTACATTATTCACCGCTAAGGGTGCTAATAACAAGTTATTTACATCATTTTGACATGTTGTTTATGCGACACATCATAGCGGCGGTAAACAATGTCGCCTTAAGTGAATGATAATGGGAAGATTGAGGATAAAAGTAAAATTTTAATCATTATGTATCTACATATTAAGATTTTTGTTTCTTACTCATATTTTCTACAATAGTATGGATATACGGCAATAAAAAAATATGAACAAGTTCGATTCAGAAATTGACGACAACTATTGAACACTAAATACACACTTACTATGTCATAAAATGTAACCATTTCTTCAAATATTCGACAACTTTATAATAGGATTAATTAGTGATTAAAAATATGGCCGATTCTCTTGTCTATCAACATTCCAGCCTTCTATAACCACGCTTACTTGATTACGTTTTCCTTCTTTGTACTTGTACCACACAATATATGCTTTGTTGCCATTGTCAGTTCTTACTATACTAGGTAATTTCCACAACCGGAGTGTCTGTATGATATTTAAATTAAAATACAAGTTTTTAATGTTTTTAATGTTCTATAATTCGAATCCACGACCCTCGAAGTCTATAATTGAGAGTTAGACCTAAACCACTAGGACACGACGTTTTCCATCTTAAGGTACTCGCGTAATAAGGAACACAGCCTCATAAAATATTGATAGCATCAAAAAAAACGAGAATTGCCTAAGTATTTGAGAGTACTGAAGAGAAGTTTATCATGGAATTTATGATCATTTCTCAATATTCATAGCGAAATATCGAATGCGCGCGGAGAACGTCGGCACGCATTGTTAGTGGATTCCGTATCTAAAGGTAGACACAAACTGCGGACTTATTTGAATTCTCTCCATTTCGTTCCAATTCAGTATCTCATAACAATGAACTGAATGTAATTTGAGTCTGAATAACTTCAAGTTTATTTCATAAGCGATCAATATTGATTTAATTCAACCTTCATCTGGGCTCGATTCTTAAGTAATATTGCAAGCGTTACTTTTGAGATAGAATAGATCGTGGTATTTATACTAATTACATTTATATTAATGCTTGTAATAATGTTTACATCATTTATATTTAAATTATACAGTCTGCGGTCAAGTTTATGCAAACGATTTTGAAGGTACGAATGGAGTAAATCTGACCATTTTAATTAAAAAAGGCTTAATTTTAAGCCAAAAGCTAGAGACAATATTCATTAAACTGATCTACATTAACCCAAAGCACAGTGGAACTCTAAAAATATATATTTTTTAACTTTTCAGACTACTAAGCGAATAGTTTAAACCATAGATAAAAGTTATTTTTGAACATGTTGAACTTTTTTTTCTCGGACCATAGATTTGATTCAACATTGCGTATGTACCTACAATTAAATTATCTGAACGAAATGTAATTGTTATAATAGTAATAACCTTAGACAATTTTGGACAACACTATCTCGTCTCAAGTTAATCAGAGCTTATGTTATGGGTAGGTACTAGACAAGTGATATATAGATGTACTTAAATATATCTTTCTTATAAAGACAAATATAATATGAATTGTAAACACCCATTAATACTCGTAATCGTGAATACATATGTCTGCCTCGTGCGAGGAATCGAACTTGCGACCATCGACTACTGTCGATGTTACCTTACTCAGTAATGTTCTTAACCGCTAGGCCACCGAGGTGCCAAAATTTATGAATTTCGCTGACGATGAATAAATTGTCAGTGACAATCGCCTTTCTTGTACCTGCCTACGTTTATTTGGATTGGTGTTCAGTTTCGTGTGCCAACCGTGTCTTACCTATTATATCGTGAAGCTATATATACGGGCATTGTTATTATGTTCTAATGAAACTACCGTAAATCATACCAATGGATATACATAGATATATGCAGTATATAATGATAGCGAATGGACACATGTCGCTTATCTTGATACTCCTCAGGAAGGACAACACATGTCACGGTTCTGTGAGCGGGATGGTACCTTATGTATTGTCACATTGGCATATCTATCCTACCTAATCTTGAAGTATTTTCTACATTTAACCCAAAACATATGTATATACCTACCTTCCACCTTTATTGATATAGAACCCTTCATAATTATTAATAAATAACAAGCGTATTATACCATTACATTTATGGTTACAGTAACAAAGCTCGGCCCGAGAACGGGGGTGACGGAAGGCGCCCCCGAGCCCTCACCAGCTCCGCCGCCCGCACAGCCCCCACCCGCATCTACCGCACAAACCGGGAAGACTGAACGGTATTAAATACATTCAGACAATTTTTCATTTATTTTACATACACTGTCCCTTGCCTATTTATTTAATATCAAACCTACAGCGTATATTTGATATCTTAAACTTTGTTAACAAATTTATATTAATGGTAAAGTTAAATACGATTTTTAACTAATTTAAGTTAAAAACATTTAAAAATTAAATTAAAAGTTATAATAAAAATCTACCAGACATACTACCTACATACCAGATATAACATCGTTCATATTTTATACAAATTTAGCAGAGCAGGTAAGCATCTAAATAGAATTATAGAAGTCACTTTTTGGCAAAACATGCTGAAAAATTCTTCATGATAAGTTACTGACACCATAAAGCGTTAATTACGAAAATTATGATTGTACGAAGGAAGGAGAGAAGGGGCGCTACTAATTAAAATGTACGCTTAAATTGTATCTAAGTAATTTTACGAACCTTCTTAGAAAATTTCGCCTCTCCAACATTCTGAAATAATTGATAATTATGTTTTTTTTACTATAATTGAATCTTCTCTTCGTTAAACCTGTTGTTTCTGTCTAACGAAATGAAAATCAATATCGAGGAAACCGGACCTTCAGTGATAATAACGAAACTTGAATCCTTGAGTTACGCATCTTTTCCCATTTTCTGTGATTGCTATATGTATATGTAATATTAATATACCTCTAATTTATTATGTGTATATGAGTATGTAGAGGAGAAAATAAAATACAAATATATTTAGCAGAAAATATTGTGCTGGTATAATTGTAATGGTATAATTGAAAATATATCCAAATCACGATATAATATTGATTATTGAACCAAGTATATATTATGTTAACTGAACAATATACACTGCCGTAGTTACTTGCCTGTACAAGTTGGCTACAACTACAAACTACATCTAGAAACCTACTTATTTCTGAATCTAGTTACTAAGTATGTATGTACCGTACTAATATTGTAAATAGTGCATATTAATAGATATACTACAATCTGAAATATAGATAGATACCTAATAATTTTATTTATGTCTGCAGTAAGCACATAAATTCAGTTAAATACAGGATACATCCATTAAAGAATATTTGGAATTATACTATTAGATATGTGTAAACATACCACAGGAAATAAAAAATAGTACGTAGGTACCTACTAAGACGTCTGTGATTGCTCGACATTTGTCACAACGGACTAGACTTATTTTTGCTATTCTGAATCCTCTATAGATTAGAAATTCAATGATTTTATCATATATTTATAGTGAGGCAGGTAAAGCCCCTTCAAGAGCTGGAGCCTGTCGTGTGTGTTTAAAAGCGTTGAAACCTGGCGAGGTATTTCACACATGTAACGGCTGTCAACATCGTGTTTGTGAAGATTGCTCCTCATATTCGAAACCTGCCAGCGATGAAGAAGCGGTAAGACAATTAGATATCACGTTGTCAATACTTCGTTATATATTGTTAATTTTAAATATTATGCATAGCTACATAAAGAAAAAATAAAATTATTAAATTTTAAACACACGCACATTTTTAAACTTTATACTATCGTATTCTCATAAATTCTTGTAAAATATCTCTAAATGGTTAAGTTAATTGCAAACAAATTATACAATTGTGTGCAGAATTCATGGAGGTGCTCAGTATGTCGGCGCAAAGCGGGTCCACGACTGCCGCCCGCAGCGCAAGACAGCACAGATTCCTTGTTAGAGGTGCCTGTGCTGGAAGCGTTGCAGAGGCGGCATTCGGAGGCCCGGCTGGGCAGCGGCGGCGGCAGTTCTGGCCTGGCGCCGCCTCGTTCGCCCGAATTGCGCAGACATTCAGATGTATCACCAGCTTCGCTTAAGGAGCTAGAAAAGGTAATGTTATCGATTTTTCTGTACGCTCTTTCTCTTTGAATTATCTTAAAAAATTGTAATGAGACTGAAATTAGCTAATAAGGTAGGTATTAGTAGTATAAAATTATGCAAAAACACTTTATAACTTGAATAGAAAAGTCATCCTACATATATTCACGTGGCTTCTTAATGTCTTAGTTCTACCTGATATACAGAAGAATATACACAGTTTTATTACATTCAATAATATATATACGAATCGAAACACGGATAGGAACTAGTAAAGTAATAGAGTAAAATAAAATATGCTGTTGTTATATGAGTTTGTAACCACGCTGCCCGCGGCGGCAGTTAAAGGGCGGCGGCAGTACGACTCCGGACGTAGAGTCTCGTCGGCCGAGCACCGCAGCACCGGCCCGCCGGAGATCAGTGAGGGCACCGCGACAACGCTCCTGCGATGAGGACCAACCAGCCGCGCAGTCTGGACACCAACCGGCGCTTGCTGCACCGCCACCCATGTCTAGGAGGTAATTGTGACATCTTGTTGTTTACTCAGATTCCTATATCATCACACGCAACCATAATTGCACTGCCATATATTGATAATGACAGCGATGTTTTCTATGTTCTTTATACTGTATCTTTGCCTTTACAGTTAGTGCAACCGAACCAAAAGCCGAACAAAGTACTTGTCAGTACTTCTTAAACTTCTCTCTTCCAACTAAAGAGATTAAAATCAAATTTATCCCATATGTCCCATTAAATTATGCTTCTTTAGGTATGCCAAATTTAGAATTCTTTAATTATTAAAACATTTGTCATCAGAACGTTTATTAATAAAAAAGTAACGAAAGATTGCTGCACTTTGTATAATTTTGTACTTTTATCATGCATATCCATGTTAACTCTCTAACAATGGTGGTTATATTATGGTATATTTTCTTTATTGAAAATATAAATTTGTTTCTTGTAGAGCTTCGGCAGTGGATGTTGTGGGCGGTGCACAATCACGTCGGGGCTCGTACCGTGCCGACGACACCGAATCAACTCCCCAAATATCGGGCCTCAGTGTAGATGAAGACCGGCCAATAAGGCGTCGCGGAAGCCAACTGTTCGTGTTGTGTCTATTTAAATAATATCACATATCATAATAAGAAAGTGTTATTATGTAAAAAGCACGGTTTCATTTCAAAGCCGTTTCCAAAATAGTAAAAGAGTTCATTATAAAACTAATAATTCTACTTATTTTCTATAAATACTTTGCTCATAAATGATCCTAATATGATTATTTCATTACTGTTTCTTTGTGCCTGAAGTGATATAACATAATTGACGGTCTCGGTGGTCTAGCGGTTACCGACACACCGCTTTAATTCCGAAGGTCGCGGGTTCGATTCCTCGCATGGTGCAAACATTTATATTCATAAGTATGATTGTTTGTATCGGTCTAGGTTTTTCTTTGTATATTATATATCTACTTATAAAAAATATCTAAGTATTTATATCAGTTATCTGGTATCCATAACCCAAGCTCTGGTTACCGTGGGACTAGATGGCGGTATGTTAATTGTCCAGAGTTATTTATTTATTATGAATAAATAATCGTTTACAGACCAGATATAGCAGCTTTGCAGCAACGAACGGGTGCTCTAAGTGCAATGGCAGCATTGACGTCCCGCGCGTCAGACTCATCTGTGGAATCGACGCCGACGGTGGCTGCCGCTGCCGCCGCCGCTGCTGCTGCTGCTGCTGCCGCGCGACAGATGTCTGTCGATGCGGAAGCAATAAAGATCGTCATACACGATGTCGACGATCGCACCCCGAGACGCGTTACGTTACGTCGGGACCCTAACGATAAGGGCCATAGGTGTAAGTAATTTACAGTTGAAATATTTCGGAATCTATATATAGTCTTATGTAAATCAATAAGTATTAGATTCATACCTACTATAACGGCGACCACCGTTCTACCCATATAAAATAATTTAAAATGTATAATTCTATAATGACGGCATTACTAGATACGGAATAGAATTTAAGTAAAGTTTGTTTTCAGCGCGTGGCTTCGGTATGCGCGTGGTAGGTGGCAAGCCAGACGCGAGCGGGCGTCGCGAGGCAGTCATCGTGTGGACTGTACCCGGCGGACCTGCTGACTTAGCAGGCTTACAACAGGGCGATAAGGTTTCTTGTCTGATCTTTTTACTTATTACAGTGCGGAACCAAATATAGTTAACACGCGCTGAAGCACTGATTCTGCCTAAATTATGAATTCTTTTAAATTTATGAATCCTAAACCGTGTTAAAATGTATAGGTACTAGAGTGGAGTGGCGTGCCCCTGACGGAACGCAGTTTTGAAGAGGTGTGCGCGGTGCTGGAACGCGGTGGTGATAGCGTCGAACTACTGGTGGAGCCAGCACCACAGCTCGACGATGCTCCCACCACGCCCGCTGCTACCACCTCGCACCATCACCATGGACTTTATGGTATTATATTTCAATACTATATCACTGTTTATCTATCTGTATTGGATACAAATTTAGTCTAATGCCACAGCTGTTACAATTTAATGTTTTTATATATTACTCAATACTTATGTAACAATTCTATTATCTTATTTTCGAATTTGTATATTTTATTTATTTATTTTTCGTGTATTTCAAAATCTTCCTGTTATAACTTATACATACAGGATTTTTTTTACTGAATGTACAGAGTACAGATCTTATAGAATAAATGAAACTTTAAAAAAATATTGTTAAAAAGACTTTTGTAATGAAAAATTATATATACTCAAATAATTATGTATGCTCATTGAAGTTAAGATGCGGTTATACGATGCTACATTGTGACGTATACTTGAATAAAACTTAAATTCATCTATATTATAACGGTGTGATTCTAGGTCGTAATTCTGCTATTTTTATCAAATACACTGAGAAATAATTTGATCACTTAATTGATATAATGCGTATTCAACTGTACTATGCCAAAAATTCAGCCATTTGCAGCTATAGTACACCAGGTGAATTTCAATGTTGCAAACTGTAAATACAACCAAAGCTCCATGACATGTAAAGCAAAATCACAAAATATATATAGTACATGGCAGAGTGATAGAAACATGGAATGGTATTACTCATTCTAATTGCAAAAGCATAAGTAACCTAGCTTACAATCACTTATTATACCTTTCCGAATTAGCAGAATTGGAACTTAGAAATAGAAATAATTTAGAACATACAACCTAAAAGTTTTAATATAAGTTCTTTGCTACTCATCTTTCCACGCCTTCACTCTATCCGGTTATTATTATCCTGTACTATTTACTTATTTCTTATATTTACATCTATTAAAGTACACATATCAACATACATCTACTTGGATGCAAACTGAACTTTGCCACTGCACCATCATTTTATAAGCATTTTCTTCTTCTTCCTCGCCGTCTTCAACTTTACGGTAGTATAATTTTATTTTATATACAGTACCTACTTCTCTTCATCTCTATCTTCATCTATCTTGGAATATTTGAATTTTAAACGACTCTTTTTTACATAACACTGCTTGCCTGGATTTTACTAATATCACTATTTAAAAAGTTTCCAGGATCGGTAATAGTGTAATACACATTATTTTAATTCACAGAACCGGATACCGACAAATCACCATCATCGCCGACGCGACGGAAATTGCCGAAAACCCCGGTATAATACCCATACATAGGCTTTAATTGTAACGATCTGTGTTGTGAACCCATAAGACATTGAGCTGACTCGCTCATTCCTTCATAAACTCTAGTAGAGACTGTCACTCGGTGCCTATTCCTCTGCGCTTCTCGGATCGCACATATTTATAGTCGTGTCCAAATGGATAATCCTTTTGTACTTTGAATATATTAGTTGATGGATCACCTCATCCATATATGTCGTTTCTGTTACCAATAATATTTGATTACTCTATATGTGTTCTAACTACCATCAAAATAATATCATTATTAAATTCTGATATATATCAGAATTAGTTTATCACAGAGTACAGCAATAAAATTCATAATTTAATACGTAAACAATTAAAATAATCAATTAAATTAGAATGAACACATAAAGTCAATCGTTGGATCTTACTTAAACTTTGATATTTGTCTGCATTTATCAGTTCTACAATAATAAGCTCTCTCGCATATTGCCAATTATTATTATTTTTATTTCATTATATTTCACATTAATGGAGTTTGTAAGTTACATACTGTAAGGGTATTTACAGCAGTGTTTAATATATATACGTATTTTTTTTACGCATAATGATTGCATATTCCTGCATTTGGACAAAATATATAATATTTATATAATAATTAGGTTAATTTAATGCAAAATGTACACTATAAACTACTAACAATTTCAACTTTGTATATTTATTTGCACAATTACCGAAAATCATTATAAATATTGCTCTAATAAACAAGACATTTTAACATCTGTAGAAATATGCCCTTAAAATATACACAGTTGGAAGGTGATCCAATAACTATTTTAGTAAAGTCGATATCCATTAGGCAATAAATATTTATGTTGGTATTGAACACACAGCACGAAGATAAGACCAGAAAACCATTTGAAAACAACGAGTAAGAATTTGACTGACCTATAAATAAACTGTATTCCTGGATTTCCTGGTCTTATCTATAATTGTGGTTAAGAGATGATGATGTCTATTCGTGTATATGTTTTCCATCACTCATGCCAATAACGACCTAAAGGGTCGTCACGACGCGCAATCACTGCAGCTCTGATACCGGTCTATACCTTTGTCCAAACTAAAACCAAGACGCACTACCCTCAATGTTAATCTTAATCATATTGATTTGTTACAAGTACCTACTTGCCTATCGTCCAATTGTCTATACGTACCACGCCTTGGTTTTGTTTTAGGTTGGATAAAGAAATCAAGTGCAAGGGCGGGTCTCCGTTGAACTGCTGTGATACTGTAGTACTAATCAGTAAACATCTTCCACGTTAGCCTAGTTGTAAGAGATTAGTGTTTCTATTTACGATCGTAGTTGTACTTTAACTTTGTTAACTTTTACTACTTAGAAAAAGGGGTACCCTGTTTGTTTACTCAAAATATTTATATACCTATATTATTATTATCTATATATTTTTAACTTTATTTGTTATTCGTATTCGTTATCGTTTATATAATGATTATCCTAAGTGAAGTGTGTGAAAAAATGCTACCTACTTATTTTCAGATTTTTATTTTTTCTATCACCCGACCAATTTCATAATGTCGCCAACGGCGCCGGGCGGAGTTCGTTGTTAGGGAACAATCGGCAAATTGACAGATAATCACAAGACGATAGATAAGTAAGTGTTAGAGAGACGACAGTTTTAGTGTTCAATGGTAGATTAGGGGACTCGTCCCGACATCGATTATCATCTTTACGACACCGATGATTCGTTGTCTACAGACAGTACGAATAAAGTCGTAGTAAAGCTAGAACTGCCGCCGCTTGCAGCTTAGCAAAATTAACCGATTCTAACATACCTACTTATATTCACAAACGCGTTAGAAATACCGGCTCAAACAACAACTCTGTACATGAACAAGAATTACGAGTGAAACAGTAAGTTACCGACTCGGGGCAGTAGAGACGACGGTCAAGTTTTGGAGCGGCGAGACAGGAATCATGCACCGAGGTGAGGACGGTACCGGGCGACTGGGCGCTCACCATGCTCGTCTCCGGCGCCACATTCCCGTTTGTACCGACTCATAATGTTGCGCATCGAGTGTGTCTGCTACCGAGTCTTGTTGTTGAGTTAGCGTAGTGTGATGCCGCACTTGTATCGAGAGGCGCTCGCACTCGCAGCGATTTGCCACTAGTCTGTAGGAGCTTCGAGTGACGGCAGCACGGCATGCGGCACACCGCACTCGCCGAAACCCCTTGAGCGACAGGCGCGCACCGACGCTTCTGTCTCGTAATCGATGACCGATGACACACCTTCATCAACGCTATACGATGTACATAGCGCTCCGCTCTTGAAGTAGTTCATTGTTACGACACCTATATCGATCGATCGAGAACTGCATGAAAATTGCACAATGTGGATATGTGCATTGATATAGTAAAATGCACCCTGTGGGACGTGATAAATCTATGAGTGTCACATGATTTTTACATACGTTATGTTTTACTTCTAGAAAATAATGGAAATGTTTCTACGACTATGAATGTCATTTTATTATTTATTATCAATGTTCGTGATGAATTCATACCTGTGTATTGTTATCGCTTATAAGATTTAATATTCATTTGATGTGAACGAATGCTAAAAACACAATCATATCATGCTCTTCACTAGACACACTTCTCACAACTCCACGTCTTCGATGTTTACAATGTCCAAAAGTATTATTGACAAAGTAAGTTGCTGATATTTTTGATAAAAATAACTTAGATAACAATAGAAATTCTTTAGATAGGTGAAATTCAAATTGCATTCAACCACTTAGATTTGTAGAATATTATATTGGCCCAAATGCTTTGTAATACATAAATTTTTTTCAGGCTGAATTATCTAGGTACACGCTAGGTATTTGACCTATCACATCAATATAGATACATATATGTAATAGTAAAATTGCACACCACAAATTTAATGCAATGTATAATAAATATGAAAAAAGACACTAATTGTAGATACCTAATAGACAATTCTAACAGCCTTCCCCATTCCGAATACAAGCTTCTGCTATGTAAATATTTGAACAAATCGAACTAATAAATAAAGGCTACAGAAACAACGCATTCCCCTCTAGACTGCGTAAACGAAGCCTTATGTTTCGACTATTAATTTAGGCCCATAGGTACATGCAGCTTTTCGAACCAGTATCAGCATGATACAGCTTACTGCATGGCGGATCGAAACGTCCGGTTTTATTAATTTGTGTTTTAATAGAAATGCCTCAGCCCGAAGCATGTTTACTTCCATGAAATAATTTGCAAGTGTCAGTACAATTAATAAATTGTTTTCAAATAATTCAGATAATATTAATGGCGATATATAATTATTATTATATGCATTGTTATGAGTCGCACATGAATGACAGTCTACAATTTTATCTCTTGCTGATGAAGATTTGATTAACAAATAGCTGATGGTTGCTGCATGTTACTTTATAAAGTACTTGCATTCCCCGAAGGTTACGACTTAATTAGATTTTGCATAAAAGGACAACGTTTTCTTTTTATTTTGTTTATGTTTATGTACTTGGCTAAGAGAAACCACCTGTGATATATGTATGTTTAGTAGTCGTGTATCTACATTGTGTGCGATGTGACTTAATTTTAACGTAACGTAGAGATTAATCTATAAAGTTTTGCTTAAAAAATAGTGGGTCGTAAAGGCAGCACGGTCGCATTGTATTATGATGTACTTACACTATTATAAGTACATGCAAGTAGTAATACGATATTTCATATAATTTATGTGTATGTAGGAGCAAGACCGTGCGGAACGCGCTCGCGAGCGTCCCCCAGCCCGTGCTCAGCTACAGGTGTGGTTCGAGAGCGAACTACGAAAATTGGTGGTGGTACTGATCGCCGCCGACGACCTGCCGCCTCGAGATCATACACTTGGATATGGGGATGAGCCTGAAGCTTTCGCAAGAATTCGCCTATTACCATCATTGTAAATATATATATTTTTATTACCTTACCAAGTTCTCATTTGGTGATATAAAATAAGTATTTTAATATTCCTTGGTTACTGTCCACTCTATGTCCATGTACATGTCGAGTATTTGTAATGAAATGTTTTCCTCTTCATTTTCAAGCTAAGTTTCTTGCATATCTGAATTAAATTTTCCATTCCAATATAATTTCTGATATTACAGGGAAAGTTGTCCTCCGGTAGAAACGGACCCAGCTTCTGCATCGTGCAGTCCGGTTTGGAATGCAACACTTGGATTTGGTGGTTTAACCGCTGACTTAATAGCAGGCCGTGCGCTGGAACTGACATTGTGGGACGCCTGCCCGGGAATTGACCCAGTTCTCATAGGCGAATGCACCGTAAGTTCTTGTTATGTAAATTTTTATCATAATATTTTGTCCGAGCATTAAAGTTTATCTTTACTTTGAAATGTTCTTAATTTAATGCTCTATGACACCGTAGCGCATATATCTACGTAGTAGTTACTTTATACTATACAGTAAAATATTTAAAGTTTACTACTACTTTCTGTAATACAAATTTCACGCTACGTACTCGTAGTTTCATTATATAAAAGCATTAAAGTAAATTATAGTTATGTTTTATTTATTAATTTTTACGTATGACGGAAGTATAAATACTAATGTATATATGACTGTAATCTTTTACTTTTATAGTACGAAATGTATAATATAGTTATCTGATGTTAATTATTGAAGAATTATTCCATTTTAAATTTCAGATGGAGATAGAGAAGGCATTCGCGGAGGAGCGCGCTGTATGGTGGACACTAGAGGAACGTGGATCGCGATCAGCTAACGCCTCGCCGCGAGGATCTCTGACGGGTGCGCGCGCGCTGCGCCGCGGCGACTTCGCCTCCCAGCGCTCCGTATCAGGTACGGCCGGCAACGAAAGTACTGCCTACGTCATATAATTTCAAACCCATTTAATGTCAAATGTATTGTAATGATTCTTGTGCACATTACAGACAATATAAATCACAAGACACTAAATATTCTTCAAATTCTGCGCTAATTTTGGAAATTTTTATGTATAGATTGTGAAGTATTGTCTCTAATGTGATCTACTTTTGAATGTTATATTTTTTATATATCTGTGATCATAATATGCAAGTGTTACAGTTATTACTTTCGTTGTTGACCGTACAGTGTGAGCAGTTGTGAGCGGAGCGAACGCTTTTTTTAATTTCAATTAAGAAAGTTTAAGTTTATTTAAGTAATATAGAACTCTGAATGTTCTTTGTAATTTCTAATACGTTTCCAACGGTCGTTTGCTTTGGTAATCAGATGACGTGGATTCTATCGGCGAATGCGCTTCGCTGTTGCACCCGGACCATGCGTGGGTGGGAGGATCGCGTCGTGGCTCATCCCAGTCTGAGACTCTCGAGGTCGAGGTCTATCAACTCGGAAAGGACTTTTCCCGCTCTTTGCCCGGCTCTCGGCGATCATCGTTCCAACAACAAGAAAAGGGTACAATATTGCATTAAAGCTCCTATATTCACAAAATAAGTAGATCAAACGTACAAATCTCCAATGCTACTATATTTGGATACCTACTTATGGGGTCCTATGTTATAATTATTGCAATAGAAAATATTTTACATTTGTGTAATCGCTAAACATTTTAAGTAAGTACTATATATTTTATTTATTATATTATCTGTTTTTGCAAATTACTATAGGGCTATGTTTTATAGTGTATAAATTATTTATTCAGGACCTAAAAAGGTCTAATTTGCTAATACTTCATTCTTAACAGCAGAATTATCAAGATTTTTTCTTTATAGGTTAACTATAAAACTTTCTAAGTTAGCATTAGTTCTAGTACGATTTCTGACAAGACTAAATAGAGATGGAAGTTTACGAAGAAGGTAAGTACGTTGTGCGAGCGTGGTGTGATGGGTGTACACAGAGGGCGGCGCAGGCGGCGCGGGCGGCGGCCACGAGGGCGGCGCGGGGCCGTCGGGCGCACGCCGCAACGAGCGCCGCCGCTCGTCGTGCGTGCGACGCGACCCCGACGACATCTTGCGCTCGCTCCGCGCCGTCAAGGGCGAGCTCGGCCGCACTCTCTCGCTCTCCGGCTCAACCGCTAGGCGTAAGTGTGCACACGTTTTTTTTAGCCCAAACACTCCCATAATAATAATCACAGTTGACGATTAGGCAATATAGATGACGTGGTTACCTACACGTACGATTAAATACCCTCATCAAATTTTATACTTTCAATATGCATAATAAGTTCTTAATTTTAAAATTTAGTTGTAACTGTTCACTTATTTTCTGGAGATGAGGTAACTGAAAGACATACCTACCAAAATGAGTGATTAAAGTTCTATTGTCTTTTTCCGATCATCATAGCGTGAAAATATAATATATAAATTTCGTTAAAGACTTCTGTCTACCTCCCTAATTTTTTGCTTTAATTTAATTCACGAACGTTAACAATGGCGATGAAATGATTATATTTATCGCAACATTACATACATAGTCAATATACAGATACATGCTTTTTCTTATTATATCGTACATGTACGTAACCATATGTAATTTAAGAATTCAGCTGTATACATTAAAAATTTCAATGTATTATATAAAGAATAATTATACAACTAAATACAAAATTCATTTATTGACTTCCAATTCACTAATTTAATTGTTTAGTATATTACCAATAGTATCTATAATGTAAATAATAGATAATATACTTATGAATAATACAATATTTTATATCAGTCACAGTTCACTATTTTTCCAATATATTCCACAAGTATACTTCTTGTGCTCTCTATTTTAAGTGATTTATATACTACTTCTACACGATTTCTATTACGTTTTACTGAGTTGTATCACTAACATTTCAATTATTTTATTATAGTTTTTTTATTCGCACAATTTGGTTTGTATTGTTCAGTCACGAACCCCTAGCAATGATGCCCTAGTGCACTATACCGAACCTTGTGACTGAGGCGAACGCCAATCGCCATCGAAATAACCGTAATCACTGCCTCCAGACCGTCCCTCTGTCCACCACAAGAACCACTAGACTATGCGAACATGAAGGGTAGTACTGACTGTACTGTGTTGTGCTTGTTTGGTCAGCAGCGACGGACCGTTAGCTCCTCGGTAAGCGACTACCTGTGCCCGCACCCGCGCGTGCTTCCCTGCAGGGTTTGTTCGTGCGGGATGTCGGTGTACGCGATCCCTTGTGACGTCCGACGGCCGCCAGCCCCTCTATTCTGATCCTATTATGCCATTGCACACTGGCTACTATTTGAACCACATATTGTATCTCGCCATCGTGTAGACACTAGCGCTAGATAAAATATGTGGTCGGTGGTTCGAGAATCAGAATAGGGTCTCGGGCCACGTAGTAGCATGGGTCATCGCTTGCGCGGCGGCCGCGCGCACGCACCGTTGAATGTGGCTGCGCCCGATGCTTCTCATCACTTCACTGTGTCTGTTCTGTACTGTCCTGACGCATGCCCGGCCGCGGGCGATCACGCTCACTTCATCTGTCTCTGTGTACCGTCTATTCGGCTGCCCGTCTACGTTCATCTCGATGGCATTGTGTCGCCTAATAGGATGTTATGGACTTCATTACCTCTGCGAATGTCACTCATTGTTACGATACGCATTCTATTAGTTTTCTTGTATATATCTTATCCTAGGCCGTAGTTGGACATTACAATTTTATCAGTACGTTTCATTTTAACTTTGAATAGGGATGAATGGGAATGCAAATGAGCAAGTTCAGTAGGTCGCGGTTGCGCATGACGTAGCGCGTATACGATGCGACTCGCCGACGCCAACTAAGGCATGAGCTACTGAAATAGTCTTTCGCAGAACGCATCGATAATTCTCTAAATTTGATTAATGGCTGTTCATAACACGGAATGCTTTTACCATAATGAATTAACGACCGCTTGAGGCAACTATTAGTAAATCGACTACACTCTTGGCTGCACACGTTAAGACGCTTTTCTTTTATTTGTGTACATGGAAACAGAACGGATTCAAATCTATGTAAGAAAAATTGTATACATTAGCACGAAGCTGTTTGACGTGCTTATTTTATGTAATGTTTATTATTATTTTGATCATTTTAAATGTTTGATTGAGTGGTTTCCCTCGTTTTCTAATTTTATTTTTGTTATATTGGATGTTTTTGAATAATAAGTGATTAAATATATAAATGTTAAGCCTTAAAACTCAGCGTTATCGGTGTAATTGAGAACGAGTAGTACGATAGCACGGGTGTGGGATGTCGGGTGGTGGTGATCGGTTGTGGCGGTGCAGGCACGGCGACGGGGCGCAAGGGCAGCATGTGGGCGGCGGTGCCGGCGGCCGCCGCCTGCGACGCGGTCGCCGACGACGACGACGACGTTCCACTCGGGCCGGGACAACTGCCGCCGCGTAACGCGCACTTGCCACCACTACACGCAGAAATCAATATCAGCATTATAATGATAAAGGGCCAACTTGAACTCGAGGTCAGTAATAATAGTTAGATATGATATATGATTTCGCAGACATTTTTTTAGCTATTAATGCCCTCTATAAAACTGCACTACATCACTTTCTCCTATGGTCAACAATTTCCGCAGCATGCGCGTTTTAAGGATTTTTTTTTGTAACATTTTCACACATAAATGCAGACGAAGGGCGAAAAGGATGGATAAGGTGAATAACCGTAGCAGTGAGTTGACTGCAAAAGAGAATTGAAGAGAAAAACTAATTACACGAACCCCAAATGATAAGCGATGAAGAAAACCATATGATGGTAATACAAATAATAAGCACGACCTTGGAAGAATAGTACCTAGACGTGCTTACTAGATTAACTTTAGAAATTTATTAATCATATAAGGCAAAGTGTCATAGTTGGGGTTATTTCAGATGAGATTTAATATACATTTATTAATAGATTCTTTAGTACTAGTTACTCGCCCCGGCTCTGCACGGGTGTACATGTATTGTATATATAAACCTTCCACTAGAATCACTCTATCTATGAAAAAAAATCAGCTTCAGAATCCGTTGCGTAGTTTTAAAGATTTAAGCATACATAGGGACAGACAGCGACAGCGACTTATACTATGTAAGTGTATGTGTTTATACTATGTAGTGAAGGTTATAAATCGTAGCATAAAACTTTTTTATAGTCTGTTAATTAGTCTGATAATTATAGGGGCATAGAATCAAATGTCGATGTGTTCAACTATGCCGTAATACCACTTCGAAACGTAATAGCAACATCAAAACATTTAAAAAGCCTCATTTAAATTTTATATTATGTACAACTTGCAGGTGTCTCATGCTCGCCGGGTATATGGTGTTAACGGCGAGGTGCCGGATTCATATGTCAAATGTTACCTTCGCGATGGTGAGAAGTGGTTACATAAGCGAAAAACACGTGTCATTCGCCGCACTACAGAGCCGCACTTCAAACAGACACTCAAATACCAGGTTATTTTTTTCTAATGAAACAAAAATCTAGATTGCAGTATGGTGACCACAGTGCCATTTCTTTATTGGCGGTACTGTTATGTTACAGGCGAGCGAAGCCCTCGGCCGTACGCTAGTTGTAATGCTGTGGCAGCGCTGCGGTGGATTTGAGCACAACCTGGCCCTAGGTGGTGCTGAGATCTGTCTCGACAAGCTGACTCTGCCGCAGCGCACATACGGTTGGTACCCGCTGTTCCCGGCTACGTCGCTCGGCGGCGAGGAGTCCCCGGACTGATCCAGAGAGCCGTCGCCAGAGCGGCGTGATGACCACTAGTGCCCCACGACGCGGCGACGGCTCCATGCCGCAACAACAATCACCCTCTATGTTGCCGACCTCCGAGTTACCATAACATGTACCGGCGAACCACATGCTGCTCTATTATAGTATTCGTCGTCTTGTAAATACTCAAAAATTTTTGTTAGGTGTTTAATTGTCAGTAAATATACTGAAAATGTTGCCTAGTTGCTCGATCGAATGTGGTATGTAGGTATTTGACTGACGGCGTGTATATATATGCCGTTTAAATGTTCTTCTAAAATGACCTCAAGGACAAACTTTGAGAAATCTTTAAAGACAACACCATTTAGAGTATATACCTAAAAGAGGAGCTTATAGGAAGTTGCTTGGAGAATTTTTAATTAGGTACTAGACTCAGACATCATAATAGCTCATTAATATCGAAAGATTATATATACCATTTCCTGAGTCTCTTCATGCTGATACAAGTTACATGCACACGTTCCGTGCACTAAGTTAAGAATATTACGTAGAGCATTTCAGAATAAATATCTACGGGTGTCTTACTCTGTTTATAATAATAAAATATCATATTCACTACCAACATATAACATATGTGCAATTGTTGATGTTTGCGCCTACAGTACCTGCATATTTGTAGTAATTTTGTATGTTATGTGTAAAGTAATACCATTAAAATATAATTGCGTAAATACATTTCTGGAAATTATAACTATGAAATATCTATTTAGACAACGCCAACAGCGTGTAGCATCTTAATCTATAGTTTACTAGATACTTCGTAGATTTGGATCGACTAATGGTCCCGTCATATTCGTGATACTAGATACTCTGTGCCTGGCTTATTTCTGAAGTAGTGTTTTATTACGAGTTATGAGTTTATATTTGTTTTTCTTAAATGTTTTTCATAACCATGGTAGATGCACCGAAACCTAGCTTGTACTTTTGAAATAAAATGTAGCGCCATGTACACTTATACCTCTAATGTAATTAGATTATTTATACCGAATCTATTAATAAATGTATATTAAATCTCATCTCAAATAACCCCAACTTTGACACTTTGCCTTATATGATTAATAAATTTCTAAAGTTATTCTAGTAAGTAAGCGCGTCTAGATACTATTCTTCCAAGGTTGTGCTTTAGTGAATTTTCCTAATGTATACCTACTACTTTATTTGTAGACATCGCTAACTACTGTCAACATTGTAAGGATTTTATGTTTTTTTATTACAAACTATTTCTATTATATATTGTAAATATGGTAAATATTATTTTTCAAAATTTTCTACGCACAACTGTTTTCGTGATAGCAACTATTGTTATTAGTCTTTTTACAATCTTTAGAAACCAAACAAATATACACAATTCCGATAAGTACTTTACTTGTAACTTGTGATCACTCTGTAGTTTACCATTCTATGAGTATAGAATTACCAGCTTCATTAAAACAATCTATATGACTTTGATTAACTACGTGAATCTAGTAGAGTGGAGCAATAGTATGATAATATAGTCCAATCAGTGGCTGGCATTTCTCTCATACATTATACAGCCACTAGCGTAGCGTAAAATAGCTCATATGTAATGTAGATACAAACATTATATAATCGTGAAATTATATTTTCATTATTGGTGTTAGATAAAAGTTACATATCTACGGGAAATGTGTAATGTAATTATATCTCGTTAAAATCTGTGTTCTTCCAGTGCTGTCATAGCTTAGTGGCTCATCTGACAATACTAATCTTGTTTACCTGGTTTGCTGGCCCTCGTAGTCGGTGCGAGCACGACTTGTAGAGACCAGCTTATAAAGCTGGAGTTCGTTTCAACGTGGTTGTATATTTCCTAAGAGAGAGAATCTAAATATTCCTTTTTAGATTACATAGATTTCCAAATACTAATGTTTCTAAATGCCTAAATATATATCTGGCGTTTAAGTGTATTTTTACACTATAATTTTATAACCGATTAATTTGGGAATAATATATACATATTCAATATTTATATCATTGAAATATAGATATTTATAAAAAAAAAATATAAATATATTAAATGACTATTGGCTCTGATGAAGCGGAGACAGTCGTAACTAACTTACGCTTATTATCTCGATATATTAGTATAACAAATAATATTCTTACTTAAGTAACAAATGTAAAAAAATCATTATCTAATATTATTATGTGCCTCGACAAACCCCGATACCAGATCGATTTAATTTTCACGTTCTCTTGTATTGTGATTTAAAATATACACAATAACATCGAAAACAAAATATCAGAAATAGTCGTTTCGTGACAACAAGAACTAGTCATGTAAACATATTATTTATACTAAGATGAAAGTTTACAAAGAACTTTCCTTGGTAAAAACATGATTGATTTTGTTTAATCCAAAGTATTCAAATATTTGTACTAAAATAATAAAAGACGAGGAATAGTTACATAGTTTTTCGGGAAAATTGTCGTTATATAATAACATGTTAAACCTTCCTGTATTTTACAATCATCGCTTACGAGTATAATATACAATCCTCTCCTTATATAACTCTAAGAACTTCTCCCTCTTTCTTATGAGCCTCTTACTTAAGCCTAAGGCTGTGGTAAGCTCGCGATATTCTTTGAACTCTATGGTACAAACTATTTTCGGGGTATACTCGAAATATAATAAGAATATTCATATCAATAGTGGAAGTCTTGCCTAAAATTGTAGCCGTTTAGACTCTTAATACTTGTTACTAAGAATTCAGTGTGTCGACTTTTGTACTGGCGAGCTTGCCCTAACTTCATGCAATTGATATAGCATGTGGCCATTTTGCCTTTAAAGTTTCACTCTGTAGTGTGGATGGCGAATCAATGTGATATGGTATCGGATATCATATACCTACCTTCTTACCTTAGTGTTATAATGTTTCTTCCTAGATACAAAGTTATTGTACTATTCCGTTTTCCTGATAAATACTACAAACTATTATGACATTAATTCAATTTTTCTTTAAGATACACTATCACCTGGCACAAATTGCTATTGTCTATAACTAAACAAGTTTTTAATATATTAACTTACTTAAATTATAAAATCTCCATTTGTGTATATACACAATATATAATTACTTTATTTTCTCACAACATTTTTTTAGGTATTCATATACAAGTACAGAAAGCATATGCTACAGACATTCATTACTTGTTTACATCAGATCATATTTTCTATAGTATTTGTCACGAGCACGGAATAAAAATCTACAAAAAAATACTAGTACGTAACAAATATGTGTGTCAAAATATATTATTAAATAAATGTGATAACAAATGAGTTTATTATAGCGATATCAAAATTCGATATTGTTTTATTTCAATCTACTTCTCTATTTTCGTCTGTACTTTTAAGCATTAAACAATGAAACATATTAAACTATTACATTAGTAAAATCATAAAAGATTTTACTTTTCAAATCTGTTTAGAAAACAAACCTTTTTATGGGAATGTGTATAAAATTGAACAATAAGATACCAAGGCCTATACAGAAATTATTTTCAAATAAATTGAAAAAATTTGGTAAAAATAATTATTGAACAAAGCCTATTTACTCGCTGAACCATTATTTAAATAACAAAAGTGAATGGTAATTTTTCATTTACGGGATTTACATTTAATGTTAAATCTAGACTCCTATATAAGTAATCGATTTTAACAAACTGTCTTAAATGGACAAATATAAATTCATTTGATTCGATCCAACTTAACTTGAATAAAAAAACAAATTTGATAACATTAAAGTTTATTTGATAAATACAAATTATTTATTTAGTATTCTACCTGCACAATCTTCTATAAGTGTAATCGACACTTAATTATTAATGATAATCATGAAATTAATAACAATACACCTACTGTGTCATGCATGGTGCTATAGTGTGTACGTGATGTGATCGGGTGTGGTGAGGTGGCGCGTGTCGTTCACAGGGCGGCGTGGTGTGCGGGCCCGCACCACGCGGCCACGTGGTGCAGCAGCGCGGCCGCCCCCCCGCCGCCCCGCGCCGCGCCCGACACCCGCGACCACCACGAACGGTTCGCACACCGCCCTACATTTGAAATTAAATTTATTTTCAGAAACAGATACTGGTAATGTGTCCAGGTTGGTGAATTTGTCACGATGGGCTAATTGACCTGACCTGTTCATGCTCATCTTATCGTCCTCCACTGGTACCCTGCCTGCGTAAACCGTTAGCGCAGACGGGTGCAAAATTCTATTATCATCCAAAAAAATGTCCAGGTAATACTGATTATGAGGTGGGGGAGGGGGAGGTCAACGTAAACCGCTTAAAAAAGTAGATAAAGGTAATTGAATATAGTGTATAATATATATACACTATATACAATTGTATATACAACGGTAGGAGAGCTATAAACTAGGGGCATATACAACTTATATATACTCTTACATACTTAAATACTTCTTATGATAAACTTATAACAAGTCTATAAAAATACGTTAATATATAAAAAAATAATACAATGAATCACGTTAGAAAATTTAAATTTCTGTTATCTGATATATCTTCGCAGATTTTATACAGACTTTGAAATATAATTTGACCCACTAGAAGTGAGTGCAAACCAACGGGTTACTATGCTATGATATATGTACTATCACATGAACCATAATATTAAATTAAACTAACTATACTAACCATTACTGAAAGTAACGAGGCGAGTCCCCAGTGGATATCCGGTGATAACACAACACTGTTGCTCGTCGCCCACAAAGCTCGCGTATTGACCCCCATTTTCCACAGGCAAGGTCTGACAAATCATATGAAACAAATTCACTTTTGTGACGAGGTGACCGAGCTACGCTTCGCTGGTGGAATTCAAAAGAAGCTTATATTATGTATTAAGTTGGACTAAATTACGCATAAAAGGTAAGGTTGGCTGGTAGATAATGCTATGTAATATTATGTTATCTGTGCGAATAGGCTTTAAGCACGTCTATTGTACATAATAATATTTAATTGTTAAATTAGTAAAATCAACAAATCTGTTTAGAACTACTGGAATTACGTTTAAATAAATTTAAAACATCTGTAAAACTACACTAAACGATTACTTAAAGACAAACTTGAATGGCAATTGTTCATTTACGGTGTTACTACTATTGTACAAAATTCGATAAAGTTTGTATATAAATAAATAAAAGTGTTGTGTGACCTGTTCAACGGCCTGGTCCATGGACACGGCGAGCACCCACTCCCGCGCCTCGTGCAGCGCCGCGCCGCGCACCGCGCCTCCGCCCTCGCCACCACCACCACCGCCGCCCGACACCACCAATGGCTGTCGCGACCAGTCCGTGCACTCTGCACGATATATATACTATATTATGTATAATCTTCAATAAAATATGTCATATACATAACACTCAATAAAAAAATACTCATATTACGCACCGTACATTTTTTTTAAAGGGCTAGCACAGTAAATCTGTGTAGGTCGCAGTGCTACAGGTTTTAACACCTGACAATAACTCAAAATCCTCAAATACAATCCTTTCCATTTAGATTTTGAATTGTTTATTCATTGTCATTATCGTGACATCAATTTCAATTCACTTAAAACTATTACATCAAATTCATGATATGTTCACAAAAATATAAACATAATTTAATTTAATTTATTTAATTTATTTAACACATTTCTACTGTGAATTGAATAGTAATAATAATATAATAATAATTTATTTCATTGACATAGATGTTTTACAATTTTTTTTTTTTTACATATCAACAATCACATATTCCTATTTATATATTTCCTTAAGCCGGGGCTGGGATCTCCTTGTAAGCATAATTAAACACTTGTGTTAGGAGATCACGCTCTTCTAGGGTTATTTATTATTATATTAAGAATTTGTTTCTGTTTGTACTGTAAACACACAGTCTGTGTGTGTGTGTGTGTGTGTGTGTGTGTGTGTGTGTGTGTGTATGTATATGTAAGTGTGGAAGGGTGTTGGGTGCAAATGTATGTTTATTAAAATATTATAATCATTGTATATATATATTACATTGTGACTGCATTCCTCAAGACTACAGTCCAATTGCCCATAGACCATGCTGTCATCCAGAACTGTACAAAATAGCTTCAATTTCGTTATAGTTTTTAGATTTTAGCCATTTTGTTAAAACTTTTTTACAGGTATAAAGATTCATAGGGTAGATGTTAAGAATTTTATTTACAGCGTTATAAATATAAGTCGATTGTTTACCAAACTGTCTTCCAGCATAGGTCGATCTAACGGGTTGTACAGGTGCTACATTGTGCTTCCTTCTTTTGCTTAAAGATTTGGAGTCATAAAAGAGGTTTTTATGTACTCTTAATATTACTTGGATTATGTAAAGTTGCCTGGAAGAAAGAAGATCACACATCTGATAGAGCTTTTCCGTAGGAAATCTATGTTTCTGGAAATACATAACTTTTAATAAGGATCTCTGAGCTCTCTCAAGTTCTAGGAATTTAGTCTTTGCTGCTCCACCCCAGACAGGAATACAATAAGTTAAATTAGATTGAGCTATTGATGTATATATTTGATTTAACAATTCCTTATTTGTTACTAACCTTAATGTTCTAAATAGCCATACGAGTTTATGCATTCTGGACATTACAACATTTATATGGGCATACCAGGACAAACGCTGGTCAATAATTACGCCGAGGTACTTTACGCTTTCTTGTCTTTCAATGACGTCACAAGAGCATATGTTATAACTGTGGCTGTTATCTGTATGAATTTTAATTTGATACGTAGGGGGTGGTTGTGTATTATTGTATTTAGAAAAGCATATATAATTAGTTTTGGAGGCGTTCAACGTTAGGAAGTTTGTGTTCAGCCATTTGGCTATTTTGGTTAGTCCAGTTTCGGCAGAGATACGCACAGCATCCCAAGTGGGACCAGAGAATACCACCGCAGTATCATCAGCGTATGAGAAGACCTGTCCTTTCTCAATATCCAGGTTACACAAATTATTTATATATATTAAAAACAATGTAGGTCCTAAGACGCTACCTTGTGGCGTCCCGAAGGTTACATCGGCCTCATCACTAACAAGTTCCCCAACTCTGACTCTCTGCTTACGACCACATAGATAGTCCTTTAAAAGTTTTAAGTATACAAATAAATAAATGAAAAACATACCAAAATCAGTGTAGTCAAGCAAATGAACGGTATCATCTTCCGCCGCCTCCACCAAATCGAGACATCGGTTAAGCAGCACGAATGCTTCACGGAATCCACTAGTACCTTCAGTTCGAACTGTTAACCCGCATATATAGTAGGCTGTAAATAATATATTGTATTTTAAATCAACCCTGCAGTAGTACATTTTACACTAGCTTACTTAGCTAATTTGTAATAAATCTGCACACTCTTACGAGTTATTACAACCACGTAAGTACAACTTACAAAATCATTAATAATTAATTGCGTAAATATATACAAATTAATTGCAAAAATTAAGTAATTCTTGAATACTGAACTTCGTATAAAATATTGATAAAGCTAGCAACTACGTCCATAATTTATGTTTGATGTATATATATCATCAAGTACCGGGCATTGACGATGATGACACGCGAAATATAATTATTAAACTATATATTTACCACTTTACATTACAATCGGTACATGGTTTATTTACCCATATATATTATACGTATAAATAACAAACGAAATTAAGAATAACCTAAATCACGGATAAATGCCGAACTATGAGTTACGGCCGTACTACGATGTATTGTGTAGCGCTCGTAGCACTTACGTAGGCGATCAGAGACCTTGTGCAGTTCACACAACTCATACATAATGTCATAATTATAATGTTATAATTACATTTTAAAATAAAAATCTAGCAAGGATCTGCAAACTCATAGCTGAAATTTTTTCAAATATTTTTATGTTAAATTTCAAATTATTAATTCTTTGGAAAAGTTTAGCTTTTAAACACATAAAACCCACATTAGTGTTGTAAGTGTGAGGCCGTCCGTATGTTTTTTTACTATTTCACAACTAACTAAACTGCGGAATAAATATTAATTACATTTATATTTGACAGGAACTGACGATATACTAAATTAAACCGAAGTCGCGAATAAAAAATGTACTGTATATATAATATATTACGCGTAGGTATATAATAAATCAATTAATAGAATTTAAGTATAAATTTTCACTTACTGACATCAGCGACAATAATATCAGTGTACCGCGGCAGAGAACGCGCAGCTTGAGATGCAATTTGCGGGACATGCAGAGCCATTAGGAGAGTTATAGCCTAAAATAATATATATGACATGTTATATATAGCCTAAATATGACATGTACGAGTACATTGGTTAAAAATTACATAAATATAAAGTTGTAATATTTGTAAAAATATGTTGCTCAATAGGACTTGTACCCAGAGCCGTAAAACAACAAAAACATCAAAAAACACTAAAAATATATATACCTGCAGTGCCCTGTGGTCAGCCCCGGAGGCTAGTAACACCGCAGCGGCGTCCTGTAGCGTACGTAGCGAGCGCGGCGACAGCGAAGCGCGCAGTAACAATTCAGAACAAACCGCACGCGATAACGCTGTGTCGCTGCTAGACACTATATCAATTCAAATTATCTTTATTCATATTTATTACCGATTCTTATAATATCTAAAATTAGCCGTTAGTTCCGAGAGTTTTCGAGCTATGAAAAACTGACAAGAAACTCATCTAATGTAGTTTACATAAACGTTTCATTGAACTCGGCATTACACGCTGCACACTTCATCATTATATGAATTTAAAAAGAAGAGAACAATAAAATTTTCCTCAACGAACAAAATCATGGCAGATAAATAATTATTATGAAACTAGCTGACCCCACGAATGCCGTTCCGCTTCAAAATTAATTGTGTCAAAGGTTCTTTGAAGTTGAAGTTTAGTTACGCAATAAATTTCTGAACGCACCCAGTTTGATAGATATCAGCAGTTTGTACGGGAAAATATAATTGTTGTTTTTTCTATTTTACATACAATTTCTTCATATTTTATCACTGTTTAAACCTTCCCTGGACTTCCACGAATATTTCAAGACTAAAGTTAGCCAAATCGGTTCCGCCATTATCGAGTTTTAGCGAGACTAACGAACAGCAATTCATTTTTATATATATAGATGTTCAAAAGGTTGACTTTCACTTTATTTTATATTTAAACGAATAAGACGTGTTGCTTTATAGAATGCGCAAATCAGATTGTTGTGTACAATACATGTTGATGTGAACATACATATTATTTTAAAGTTTATTACCATTTGGTACAAATAAACAATACAGGAAGTATTACAATATATATAAGTTTACCAAGCACTGTGCCGTCTCCATCAGCCGCCGCAACTACCAGGTGTTCTCGGAGTGCCTCCAACGCCTGTGATAGGCCCTCTGGCGCTTCTTCGCTCTCTATGTCCACACCTTCCATACGCTTAAATCGCATAAATATTTTATTATTTAAAGCTTCACTCTCTAAGTTTATATGTGTAGGTATACATACTGTATATATATATATATCTATAACATGCGAACAAAAACGCGGGCACAGCTAGTAGGCTATTATATATATATTAATATCACGAGGGTAATAAACAATTGTTAGGTTTTAAAAATGATGTGTACATACGGGGTGTGCTTTGAAGAGGTGCGCGGCGTACCGCAGCGCGTAGTGCGGTCCGGCGGCGCGTCCGGCGCGCGCGAGGCAGCGCTGCCAGTGTCCGGCGCGCGCCAGGCGCTCCAACGCCTCCGCTTCGCCGGACGACTCCGCGTCCGGCTCCGGCTCGCGCACCACCGGACTCGCCGTCGCTTCCTCCTCGTATTCATCTTGTGCTGATGCGCCTAATGTCGTGTATTGATGCATACAAGTTACGTGATGACTTCAATGGTGAAGCGGCTTAGCACACCGCTTTATTTACGATGGTCGCTTCTATGATGTTCGAGCCCTCGCACATGAGTATAATTGTATGTAACGGTCTCAGAGATTTCTATATATTATGTATGTATGTACCTATTTACATAGTAAAGTATTTGTATCAGTTGACTAATACCTATACAAATCACACTCTGATTAGGGACTAGAGAACGCTGTGTGAATTCTCAAAGGTCATTATTACTATTAAACCGTTTATATATTACGGTTAAAATGTTAATAATTATCGTAAAATAGTAGCTATTTCTGAAACTTCTCAATATTGTGTAAATGCATTTTAACACAGAAAAAAGCTAGCAACACAGGCATTTTCAAATTAGTTTCCGAAATGAAAAGAACAAACTATTGTTATATATTGTTCCGTGCTTAGGGTATCGAATCTTCAAATTCTTTCAAATAGCATATACAAAAAATTAGATTATATTAATTAATTTATATTCCTGAAAATTTTAGTGAAAATTTACCTGGCATTTCATCATCGCCTTCGTAGCCTTCAGTCAATGCACCCCGTAATTGTTCCCCGATGTCGCTCTGACCAATAGCTGCGAACCTACAAATACAAAGTAACAAATTGAATAAAATGTCATTGAATGATCATCCCTAGTCGAAAAGTTGAGAGTATTAAATACTCTCGAATCTCGGCCAGTATAACCGAAGTACGGCGGCAAGCACGCATTTCTCTTGACTTCCTACAAATTATTTAATCTCTACTTCTTGTGTTGTTCACGATACGTATTATTGTTAATTACTGTGTGTGCATGTGTGCATGTGTAGGCGCTGATATCTGTCAGCAAGAATGTGCGCAGGCGGCCTGCACCGCCGCGTCCACCGCACTCGCTTCCTCCGCACTCGCGTCCACCACGCTACAGTACAATCAGCGCGTGCAGGTACTTGTCTGCGAGCATGTGCGCGGCGCGGGTGCGCGCGGCGGGCGGCAGGTGGTCGCGCGCGAGGCGGGCGGCCCGCAGCGCCGCGTGCTCCGCCAGCCGCGCCGCGCCGCCCGCCGCGTCCACCGCACTCGCGTCCACCACGCTACAGTACAATCAGCGCGTGCAGGTACCTGTCTGCGAGCATGTGCGCGGCGCGGGTGCGCGCGGCGGGCGGCAGGTGGTCGCGCGCGAGGCGGGCGGCCCGCGGCGCCGCGCGCTCCGCCAGCCGCGACGCGCCGCCCGCCGCGTCCACCGCACTCGCGTCCACCACGCTACAGTACAATCAGCGCGTGCAGGTACCTGTCTGCGAGCATGTGCGCGGCGCGGGTGCGCGCGGCGGGCGGCAGGTGGTCGCGCGCGAGGCGGGCGGCCCGCGGCGCCGCGCGCTCCGCCAGCCGCGACGCGCCGCCCGCCGCGTCCACCGCACTCGCGTCCACCACGCTACAGTACAATCAGCGCGTGCAGGTACCTGTCTGCGAGCATGTGCGCGGCGCGGTTGCGCGCGGCGGGCGGCAGGTGGTCGCGCGCGAGGCGGGCGGCCCGCAGCGCCGCGTGCTCCGCCAGCCGCGCCGCGCCGCCCGCCGCGTCCACCGCACTCGCGTCCACCACGCTACAGTACAATCAGCGCGTGCAGGTACCTGTCTGCGAGCATGTGCGCGGCGCGGGTGCGCGCGGCGGGCGGCAGGTGGTCGCGCGCGAGGCGGGCGGCCCGCAGCGCCGCGCGCTCCGCCAGCCGCGCCGCGCCGCCTGCCGCGCCCGCGGCACTCGCGCCTATCAGCAGCTCCACCGCCTCCCACCACTCGCCCCTGATATATATGTCATATAGTAAAAGTTAAAAGCTTAATTAGTAAACAAAATAAATTATTTTATTTAACTCAACGTCGATCCAATCATCCCGATGGGGTTATTATCTAGGGATGAAACAGTATCAAAAGAAGACCAACGACCGAGGAGCCGTCGTTACAAACATACCAATCTAGTTTAGACGCATCTTATCATTAAATTCATCTATAAATTACTCACATTAGTAGTACCGCGTTACATGATAACGTAATGTCATAAATGTTGTCTAAATAGTACCATAGAATAAATTTAATTATATTTTTATTTAAATATACCTGTCGGCATGTTCTGCAGCGCGCTGTAGCAACGGTGGTACGGTAGGCGGAACCGGCTCACCGCTGTCAGGTAAATACTCACGAGATACACGAGATGCCTCTTCCCAAAGCTCTGCAAATTAAAAAGAGTATATTAACAATATAACATTTATTTATTTATTTATTTATTTATTCATTTCAATATTACAACACCATTACAGTATATCCAAATCGGTGTCGCAACTTAGTACAGTATACATATATATATATATCAATTTACAACATAACATATTTTATTACATAATATAAACATTATAAAAATTCTAGATACTTTTGAATGGCTTCTGTGATCTTCGGCAGACTACAATCAAAAATATCAATATAATTTCTGATATTGTTCAGTATCTCTAAAGCACGGGTTACAAGTGAATATTTTAGTAAATTGGTCCTGGCTACCGGAATACTGAATAAAACGGGATGACGGCGCGCGCCCACGTAACCATTGGGTACCCATAGCTGAATTTGCTCTAATATTTCTGGGTGATGCACCCACCCTCGTAGTACACTCACAACATATTTTACGAGAGAGACATCTCTTCTCACCGCTAATTTATTATACCCAACCATGCCCATTACAAACAAACTCGGATACATCATGGGGTAGCAAGGATAAATACCGTATTCCTTAAAGTATAAAAATCGAGTGAATTTATTTTGTAGTTTTTCGATCATATGGCTATATTTAGTCTCATGTGGATTCCATATTATAGCGTTCGTTTCGAGATGACTTCGTACGAGCGAATTGTATAGTATTTTGGACTTAATACTTCTAACATGGACTTAATACTTCTTTAACTCGATTTTTACAGCACATTTATATAAAAAACACTTGTCGCTAAACATGTATAAAACTAAGAAAGTTCTGTACGATTTCTTGTAAAGTTTCAACTGTTTCTATGTAAGTGTCGTCTATATACCAATAAGCATAAAGTCTAACCAAGATCTTTGTAGTGTTGCACAACTTCCCGAGGTCTGTTGGCGCGAATCATCAGCGCCTCGAACTGCGGCAAGTCTCCACGCTCGGCCGCAGCACGCGCACCTTCCACCAAAGCCTCTTCCACCTGCCCACAGTATATACTGTTTAATTTGCCTTCAAAATAAATCAAAATTAAACTATTTGTGATGAGATATTTAGTGGTATATTCTTTTTAACCGATATATCGATATTTTTTGGTATGTGGATATCGATAAATATGGGTACTGTCGAGAGGCGTACCATGTGGTGAGCGTGCCGCTCGGCGAGCGCGAGCGCACGCGCGTGCTGCCCGCGCGCGGTCCACATGCGCACGGCGTCGTCAGCAGCGCCAGCTCGCACGAACGCTGCCTCCGCCTCCTCGGGCTGTTCCTCCGCCAGTGCTGCTGCCTCGTGCCGCGCCACTTCGCGTCGCGACACGCCGCCGCCCACTGAGCTCAGCTCCATCGCTATGTCCCATCTGAGACGCGAATAGAGATGTGTACGAATAATCCATTATGGAAATAACCGATTATTGTAACCGAATGTCACATTCCAAAATACAAGGACCAGGACCGTCACTTTCGTGTTGATCTCACGACCATCAAGCAGTGACATTTACAGACACGTAACATAAATCGCTACACGACTAAGACAATAATATTCTAATAGGTCCCTTTACACTTACGCTCCTTCACGTGCGTGTTGTACAAAAATTGTCAGCAAATAACATAATATCAATGTGAACTATGCAATAACCTCTGTGCCTGCAAGGCCCAGCGTGCGCCTATCGCCGCCATCCCTCTAGCGGCCAGCAGGCGGGCGGCTGGCGCGCCGCCCAGAGACGCGGCCCACTGTAGAGCTACCTGCGTACACATAACGCGTACGACAAGAAAAACACATACAATAAAAGCCCGTTAATTTGTATATTTTATTAAGAAAGACAAAATATTTAAGTCAAGTTACTATTTACTATTAGGTATATTATACAATCCCGTGGGATACAGTCTATGACTGTTAATATAGTTTTCTATACGTGAAACAATTTTGAAAATCATATGATTATTATGAATAAACACTTTGTGCAATAAAGCCAATGTATAAAAGCCGACAACAAACATGAGTAGGGTAACGAGCCGACGTGAGTAGGGTCGTACCTGTTGTTGCACCGCACTGGGTGCATGAGCCCGGGCAACGCGCTCAGCACTTTCCCACTGTCCAGCTGTTCTGTACATCTGGATTGCACTCTTCCAATCATCTGATAATACATATTTCATACAATTAATATAGCAAGCAAGTCAATCGCGTAAGTCTAAATCGTGAAAACATTTATGGTTATTATATTTTTTTCTTTTATGACACCAAAATAAGACATTTTTAAAACTCACATAAACTTGATTCCCGGTTTCTCTATACTTAAAATTTAGAGTGCAATTAATTTTCCATATTATTTAATTACCAGATTGTATATAATAATTTTCAGCGGCACGTAAATCTCCGGATGCATGCAGTGCTTGTGCGACATGACGACGCGTTGCTTCCAACAGAGAACTCCTGTGTGCTGCCACCAGTCTCAGCATAGCCTCGTATTGTGACGCATCCTAAATACGACATCAATGCATAGAGATCACCAAACACCTGATAATTTGGACAAGATAGTATTTATTATCATGGCTACTACAAAACGGTACTGTGCACTGGCGTCGCCACAATAAATCGTTAATAACGTTTGTCGTTTAATGTGAAACGTACCTTATACATAGAGATGGCCTCGTCGGGCTCGCCAAGGCCGATGTAGATGAGCTCGGCGGCTCGCATGTGGCCGTCGCTGCGCAGTTGTCGCGCGAGTGGCAGGTAGATGTCGCGCGTGTCGCGTTCCGACAGCTGCGCTGCCGACACCCGCAGCCCGTCTGCTACACGCCCGGCTGTGTTGTACGCGCGCACGCACCGCTCCGCCAGCCCGCACGATACCAGCACGCGCTCGGCCGTCTCCCATTCCTAAATTTCACTAGTTCTGTTACACTGGACACGCATTCCATCCCACATGATGTAAGAAACGACTACGGACTCAATTACAATATATAGGCTTATAATTTAATCATATTAAATTTGACCACAGAACGTATCGATCGATTTTATATATATGAATAACAGTGTACTGAACATAATATATTAGGGCTCCAAAATAATTATCAGACATACGATGAAACTATAATAGTTACAGATTAATAACACTATTCTTACTTGTGTTGCTATAAAATGGTCACCCAACTGTTCGCAGAATTCACGAATGGATTCTTTGTCTTCAATGACCTGTAGACAGTTTAAAATAATTAAAACAGGGTTAAATACATTAAGCACAAAGCCCTAGCACTGTATCATCAATCATCATCATTTTTATGTATATATGTATAATATAAAACTGATGTACTTATCAGTAACAGTAGTGTAGGTATTTTCCAAAAGCCATGTAGTAGTTAAATTTGTAAAATCATGTACTTATATAACTGCTTACATGCACACCCATCCAGTCAGTGGTGGTGTAGTTGGGTTTGTCGTATCATATTCCTTGACAACCAGCCATGCGCTATATGCGAGCTGCGGCCGCGTCACCTCGCCCCAACACGCGTACTAGTAGTGTAGTAGGTGGTCGGACCATGCCACCTGCTACACCACTACTACGCGTAGTACCTTAGTCATACCTCGACGATGTGCAGCGCCTTCCTGTAGTGGTGGGCCTTGAGTGCGGCTGCGAGCGCGGCGCGCGTGTCGCCCGCCTCGATGAGGTGAGGTACCGCGGCGCCCGCCTGCCGCGCGCTCACCAGCCACGCGCCCCACGCGAGCTCCAGCCGCGTCACCTCGCCTGGACATGCCTGCGCCACGCACACACACCATGCACTCATGCATCTCAACACCACTCCAATAGTTAGAGAAAATATTTTTTTTTTCTTATATAAGTGGAATAGAGAACTAGCCATCGATCCCTCTAGCAGCATTAAGTAATGATATGCCACACCCGGCTGCGCTAACGATATACGTTGGAGGGGCAGCAGTGGTGGATGAAATTGGGTCAGTTACATCTCAGGCCATCTACAATGGCGCTCGTAGGTGCACTGCGTAATTTTTTAGTGGATAAGTATTCCACACGCTTTTTTGATACCACTTTAGCGGGGTGCATTGAAGATTTTTTTTCAAACGTCGAATTAATTTTTCCATCTCGCAAATTAGCGACAAAATGTAACGATGTTTTTAACTTACTTCTCGAGCAAGTTGTACAGCTCTAGCAAAATTGTTTCCTTTGGCATAATATTCCACAGCAGTTTGATTTTCACCACTTCTTTCCGCGATCTCACCAGCCATTTCCCACCATTCTTCCTGTAATACACAGAGTACGTTGATACTTCACGTATAAATCATTTATTTTACATTGAAATCACTGATCTTTTATTTATGTCGTGGCTGTTTAAATTAATCATAGTGACTCATAATAGTTTTTTTTTTTTGTGAAAGATAGTGGAATGGTTCTTCCGCCTGCGCTAACGGTTTACGCTGGCGGGCCACCAGAGGAGGATGACAAGATGAGCATGAGGTCAGGTCAGTTAGCCCATCGTGGTAAATTCGCCATGAATTTATCACGATGGTTTCCAGGGGGAACCACGTGGAGGTTAACCTGACATGGTACATTGCTAGTAATGGGGTCTCATGAGTCCACATTACTAACAATCACCTTCCCCCCAACTCATAATAGATTCTCTGAGCCGTACCTGTATGAGCTGTGTTCGCACAGCGTCCACCAAATCCGAGTCTCGTAGCAAGGTGGAGTGCTGTAGGAGTAAGGCAGCAGCACGTCGTGCCCTACCACCTTTAAGCCATATCCTCACTGCACCTTGTACATCTCCAGAAGCCGCTAATACCGCACCTGCTTCTCCCAATCGACCTACAAAATTGATTTTTTTTTAATCGATTTAGGACTCTTATGTGATACTATGTTAGTTATTATGTATTAGCAAAAAACCTAGAAGGAAAATAAAAACAAAACTTTACTGTTCTTTGCACACGACGCGACTAGTCACCGAACTCTACGGATGGCGGTATATACAAAACTTGGACTAACCTTACTATCCTTCATTGCGGAGCAATATGACGATCTGTGACGCTTACAAAGAGCTTAATAAAGTACTATATTGTATATAAATTTGACTTATAAAACTTTGGACATTACACAAAATCAGGTGTTATTGAAAGGACCATCCAGTTTATTATAATTTGCTTTTTGTTATTTTGACTTCACGAACTTTAGAATACTAACCTGTTGAATATAAGTAATCCATGTGCTGCTGCTTGAGAGTTGACACCAATCCACGGTCTACTCTCTCGGCAAGAGCTATTGCATCTGTCCATCTATTGAATTGCTTGTACATGCTAATAGCTAGTTCAGGGCGACCGGCTTTCTTGACGTAACATTCCTCAGCGGTTGCCAAGTCCCCAGCAAATATTGCTAGCCTTGCTCGAACTAATGGACTTTTTAATCCTAAAAGCAATACACGATATCATAATATATTATTTTTAAGTATAAAATAATAATTTATCATTTTCTTAAGAGCACCTACTAGTACTTAATGATAAAAGTAGTCTAACTTCTCCACAGGGTTAAGACCAGATAATAACTTCTTTTCTTACGTGACTTGACTTTACTTTTATGACCCCGGATATCTCGTTGACACTAAAAATTCTTGGCAACATTTCTTTCTGTTTGCCCTATTAATTCCAATCAATTGCCGATATGAAGGAAATGTGGCCGCATCCTCACATCAAATACACGCTAGATTTTAGCTAATAAGAGTATCTTAAATTATACAACAAATTTAAATTATTTGTAAGCACATTTACTTTTTTTATTTCTAGGTTAACACTAAATGTACCTGCATTAATATTTTCAGCACCTTCTTCTGTAGCCAACTCCACGGTTTTGTCAAGGTAAAACGTGCGGGATTCGTCGCCTACTTCTCGATAACATTTTGCTGCTAGCTATTACAAAAATAAAAGAAAATAGTCACACGTAATACATTAACCACTTCTAAAGATCAAGGTAGATCTTGTTAGTGTTTTTTAATATTCTTTATTTGAAAATTGTTTGAATTAGCAAACGAATTGATATGACAACCCAGCTCGTGTAAAAGTGATGACTGTAGAATATAGACCAGAATAGCACCACAAACCTGCAAATACATTGAGATGCACTAATGCAATAATATTTATGAGAACCAGTGTCAGGTCGTACGAAGTAATTTCGCTGCAAACAGGAACAGTTAGAGAAGCGAGTTATGGTCGAAATAGATATGAATGCCTTACTTGTATATCACCATCAGTAAGTGCGCGGTCAGCCAACTGTCGCCACAGTGGTGCCACGTCGGCGCTGCTTCCCACGCCATCCAAGTACGCAGCACACCCCACCAAATCGCCGCTTCGTAGAGCATTATCTAGAAACAGCGATTCACAATTATTATTTACTCGGCTTACTTATTACTGTGTTTAATCTAATTGTTAATTGTAGCGCATATTAGTTCCAAAATATTAACTAGATATCGCTGTGTCATTTATGTACAAGTTCTACATCGCGGTGGCAAGACGTTTTTGCATTGTCTTAAGACATAGTACGTTTTGTAACTGAAGCGAATATTCTTACTACGGAATATACACACAATTCAGTACTATCCTTGGGTTTTTTTATTACACAGAGAATATAATATTGTAAATGTAAATTCAGAAATTCTAGAAGATACAGCAAAGTCGAGAAAGTCTTTGTATTAATTGTCTGTATAAGTTCTGCTTGAAGATAAAGAGAGGTGAGCCGTTAACTTGTTCCAATTTAAAATACAGTTTAGTAATAAGTGAGAAGGCGTACTGAAAGCAAGTCGGTGCTCGTCGAGTTGCAAGTACGGTGTCTGACCACCATCGAACATAACGCGACGTGCGATCACCTCCACGGCTACACCGCCGCTACATTCCGCCATTTCCACGCTACCCGGCTCCCATGCCGTGTACCTTAATTTAACAAATATTAATTTTATTTTTAAAAATCATGTTCGTTCTTGCACTTATATTTTAATAACTATGTACGGAAATTTAATTGACTTACTGTGTTTTCATCTTTCGCAACTTACAACTGTATAGAATACAGCTTATTTAAGCTTACATTAAAGAAGTCTCCGGCTTGAATCGAAGTTCATTAATACCATTCCATACATACATATAAAAATATAAGTATCTAGTACTAATATAAATATAAGTACTAAAGGAAACAATATTCAGCAATTCATTGCTAACTAACGTCCTTCTAAATAGACGATGAATAAATTAATATCATGATTATCCAAGTAGATAGCTAAAACAAATAAAAACGAAAAAACCTTATAATTATAGATAATCTTACCAAATTAATAAATGTGTAGGAGTTTGTGCCACAACTGCATCGCTGTTCTCAATCCACTGCACGAAACCGACCCCACTTGCTATAATTTCCTACAAAATTATAATAACAAAATTTGCATTAAAAATTCAAAAGGTGTTAGTGAATCGCATTATATAGGTACTTAACAAACAGAAAAAATATAAGTATTTAAAAACTATCTCCTTTTTTAAAATTAATTACCAATAACAATTAGGTAGATATAATAAAAGCAATCAAATCTAATTCAATCATATCTATCTAATAATCTAATTTCTTGCTTAAATCAGGAAAATAAATACGTTAGCGTTATTTAAGACGTGGTAAATAGTAAATATTGTAACAATGATTATCAGTTTTTCACACATCCCATTATTTATAAGGTCCTTCTATAATTGTTTCATTCAATTTTGTTCGATTTCAAATATAAGCAACTGAACTCAAAACCATCCGAGATCCATACCTTGTCACCATTGTGAAGACGAAGGAGTGCAAGTCTACGGCGCGTATCACGCAATAACAGCAGCTGTCCACTCTCGTTAAGTTCGAGCCAGTCTACACGTGCTTCATGCCACCATTGTGCCAGTTGTATGCCTGTAATAAGAACATATACATACACGAATAATTTCATGGTAACCGTGTCTTAACATGAATAATTTTATAGAAATGAATAATTTGGTAAAGAAAGGTATTATTAGATAATAAAGGAAATGGGCTGCACTAGCCGTGGTCATCCACGGCCAGTGAAATCTTGTAAAAAATTCGAGAAAGTAGAAAGCTTTATTTACCATAAAATTATTAATACCTTTATACCTTTTACTTAGTCAAGAAAAATCGCTTGGTAAGAAAGAAAGAGACAGCACCTTCTTCATGAAAAGAAAATAATTTCCTAATTAATCCTCACCAGTGGAAAGATCAACAACAGCGATGGTCTGCCTATCGAGCAGGTAAGCGAGGTGCTTACGGTCGCGGCCACTCGACGACGAAGTACCCTCGTTGATCCTCACGCTCAATACGTGCGGATTCACTCGTTCCGTACGTACCTGTATACAAGTAGATTTCAACGAGTAATAAAATTTTGCAGTTGTTATTCTTAGTTTGTAATCCGAGGATTAGAAAAAAGAGAAGTGTAAGTAGTGTTAAATAATTAAATTAATTGACATGTAATGGTCTGTAACTGTTTCTTAACCACTAATAAATACAAGTAAGTACCTAATTAAAAGAAAGATATTTTACGAAGTTAAACAAATTTCTATGATAACTAGTTTATGAAGAATATTTATAATTTCGTTTATAATATTGGAACTACAAGAAATTAATATTAGGTATATTAACGGCAGAAAAATAAATTATGGCAAATAATGAATCCAAAAGAGAATTTGGCTGTGACTGTGATACTCACGGTATGCAAAACTTTATTAAGTCCATATTCTACGACGCTCAATTCTCCAGCACGATGCAACAAGCAGGCTCCTCCGACAGCGGCATATATACGTTCACCGCTACCCGTCCATGGAATCTAGTATAATATATCAGATTATTTTGTATTTATTAATACAAAATACGAATTGTATATTATTTAAGGTTTTATTATCACCTCACTAGTCAAGCCACGAGCAATGTCGCAAAGAATCAATGAACTACTAGTCCGACAAACTGCATACCAATCATTCCCTGGAAAAAATACAGTCAGTCAATTCATCACTTATTACATTAAAATATATTTTTCTAAATATTTAAATAACGACTTTTCCATGCGTATTGAAAATATCACATGCAATGAGATGCAAAATGTATGTGACGGAAAAAAGCGAAAATATAGACAAATTAATTGAAGGAAAAACAATTTCGTCGCAGGAACATTTCTTAAGTAATTTTCGACACAGAATATTAGTAATTAAATTTTAAATAAATAAAACAATATATTAAAATAAGCATGGATTCGGTACAACAGTTTAAATTAACTAGTAGTTTAATTAGTTTTGACAAGATTTTGGAACATAGTGTCATCAAGTTGTATGTTAGGTCTTGATTTTTTAGTCTCTCCGAGCTTATGGGCGGGGCAACAGAGTAGTGTGTTTGAAGTACAACCGTGAAGCAGTGTGCTCACCTATGAGCCTGACATTGTATATGTCTGGCGCGTGGTTGGCTGTGACGGTGAGTGCGGGCGCGTCGTCGGCCAGCCGCCGCAGCACCAGCTGCCGGCCGCTCACGTGCTGCACCTCCACGCTGTCGCGCCACACCCACCGTCTGAACCCAAATTTCATATTTTTTTCAAACTATTCTAATTTTGTTAGCCGCAGCTGGCTTTTACAGCTTCCCCAAACGACAGAGGGCGAGTGTAGATGGTACTCTCACCCAAACTCTGCTCAGCTTGGGACTAGATAATGACTGTCCAAGATTTTTATTATATAGAACTATCCCTTGTTCATAATGCATGATATAAGTACCAAGAGGACATGCCCCCATAATCTGTAATTTCAGTACTATATCTTAATCGCTACACATTGAAACAAGGTATTTAGCAGCTGAAATAGGTGAAACAGAGAAAATCCCTCATCTCGTCTTCATGAAAACTCTACTACGGTAGACGTCTCCTGTTTCCCTATAAAGAAATTTGCAGAAAATACCTAGTATATGTTACTTCAATTGTTATTGACCTCAGAACAGCTTCAAGCAGTATAACAGCACCAGTCTGCGAGGCGACCGCTAGCTTGGTACCATCGGCGCTCCACGCGAGTGCTCGAGTCGCATACAAGTTCGGTATCTGCAGCGGCGACAGTTCCAACACACCGGACTCCTTCACGTCGCCTACCAGACACCCGTCGAATACCCCAAATGCTATTGTCTATTAACAATTACAAATATATGAATGAGCTTTTCTGGAAATATTATAAATATCCGAGTTCTTAACACTTTATAATACAAATACACAACTAACACAAAAAGATATTTTTCAATATGAAACTCAAAATTGGAAATATTATATATTCATACGACATCCAATGCAATAGAACGCCTATCTTCAAAGAAATAATAGAAACGACAGAAACATTTAAAATTCGATGCAGTACAAAATAATTCTCTATTACAAAATGTTCATATTAACACAAATTATTATTTCAATGCCTGTTGTTCATAGTATCCCTAGCACTTAATCTTCTTTAGTTTCAGGTCTGCTTAAATCAAGGAGGAAAACGAGTTAATTTGAATATCTGAATATTTACTTGTAAAGACACATTTTGAAAGAAAAACTGAAGCAATTAAGAAGAAAGGAAAGATAAGAATAAGTTAAATATGAACCTGTCCAGAAGGGCTTGGAACAGCGGCAATAATATCGCGTCGATCTGGCGGTAGTTGAGGCTCAATGCTGCGTAAGAGAGCGCCACGCTGCGCCTCGTACACTGTCACTCGACCGTCACACGAGCCCACTATCAACTGGAATTGTAATAATTGTATTTAAACTCATGCGGACTTAATTTTTATCCGCATTTATTTGATTAGAACATAGGGACATATTGAGCACTAAGGGAACAGGAGTTCATTACATTCTGAAACCCTTTCTTAACTATTTCCAAACATCTACCTACATTGTACATACCTAATAAAATAAGTTGGAGTGAAGAAATTAATTTAATGCTTGTTTTTGGAAGTGTATTGGACTATGTATCTGTGGGTGTAGAGATCTGTGTACAGAAAGCAGTAAGCGATCCTGATTACAGAATGACGCTAGTAAAAAATATAAGACAGCGCGCATGTGGATTCGGGCTGTTGCCTACCATGATATTTTGAATATCCTAATTTTATATCCAATTCAGTCAGCCAGCATAAAAGACTCCTCGACAAATAGATTATAGCGATAATATTTTATTCATAAAGACTACATTGAACTCACATAAGGCGGCAGTAATACTAAAGCGGTAGGGGGCAATGCGTAGCGCAGAAGCAGCCTACCGTTAAGGTACAGCGTACCATCGACATGGCCTGAAGCAAGGGTACCTTCCCCTCCCTTGGCCAATGATACGCAACATGCTCCGACTGTCCAAAGACTGGAACTCTTATTGACTTTACAATCCAACGATCTAAAAAATTAAAAAAACGAATAATAGTAAGTATGCGTGTACAGAAATCAAAATTACTTCTGTCATCGTTTTCTTTCTTTTCATGCCAAATAACTACTACATACATACGTGCCATATTAACCATTAAGGCATTCACAGGTAGACACCACCATAAGATTATGGGCAAACTAAGCATACTGGGTTTTATAAATTTTATAATTTCTACTGACCTACAATGTAATGATAATAATATTTAATAGCAGATTAATAATATATAATAGCAGTTTAACTGACTATGTAGTTCAGTGGTAAGTACAATGTTGTTTTGCGCAAATAAAATCTCGAGTTAGATGCTCAGAAAGAACAATTTAAAAAATTGCGTTTTTTTAACTCACTCTAAGTTATGACTTCTGTATTGTCTCCCACAGGATTTTATATCTTTAGTAGGTATAGGGAAAAATAGTATGTCAAAACAAAAGTTAATATTGTATATTTAAATACAGTGCCTTATCTTCCCATCCGTAGTGGCAGTAAAGAACCCGTTGTCTGCCGGCAACAGCTGTGTCGGTGCTCCAGTCAAAGGGAACTTATTGCAGATCACTTTCTTCCCAGACCAATCTGCGCCAACGCGGTATACGAAGACCATATTATCGCTTTGGGCTATCCCCAACAATTCAGAGTTCTCGCTAAATGATATATCTGTAATCAATTGCGTTAATTGTAATAGAAATAATCTTTATTCAAATAAACTCATTACAAGCACTTTTGAATATTCATATTTTTATTTCTATCACAAAATATATACAGATTCATCACAAGAAGAATGAGCAAGAAACTTATGTGTTGCTCTTTTAAATAGATATAAATTTATATATAATTACAGTATAACAAGTAAGAGGCAGGCATAACAAACAAGAGAGGATAATCAACATAGAAACCGCTACGCACTCATTCTTAGTGCAATCAGACAATATTGTCTGCGCTATGGACTTTAAGTTTTTCTATAAAAATCGAACTCTTCAATTTTATAGTAAGCTTTTATACAAAGGAAGTGTTTTATATGGACATTTAAATCTTTTTTCAGACAGATTTATAGTTAAAAAGGGTAGGTCCAAAAGTCAACTCTATTTTTTGTCACAATATATCATGATGATATTTCTTATGTAGCGATTAAACATACCGCCACTTTTACCAATTATTGTGCAATACAAATATTTATAAGTACAGGTTTTGTGTGAGTGATATTTTCTTAAATAAAGTACCTGTAAATAGACCTGATACCTGTAAATCATACTCACTCGTTATAACATATGATTTTTTTCCTGACGCGGGGTCCGCAGGTTTAGTGCTAAATTTGTCACGCCGCACACCATCCCGATCAAACAATAACACAACTCGGTCACAGGTTGCCACTGCAAGCTTCACATTGTTTGGTGACCAACTTATATCAGCAATAGGACTCTCGTATTCCTGAATATATATTTATATTTATATTTATATTTATATTTATATTTATATTTATATTTATATTTATATTTATATTTATATTTATATTTATATTTATATTTATATTTATATTTATATTTATATTTATATTTATATTTATATTTATATTTATATTTATATTTATATTTATATTTATATTTATATTTATATTTATATTTATATTTATATTTATATTTATATTTATATTTATATTTATATTTATATTTATATTTATATTTATATTTATATTTATATTTATATTTATATCTATATTTATATTTATATTTATTCATTAGAATATACAAAAATTATTTTGAAACATCCATCTACCAGTTTTATACACATCCGTTCTACCTGTTATCCAATTGTAATAAAAAATTATTACAGAAATTCAAACATTCCAGCAGCTTTGTGAAAATGTTATTTTTATCATACTTTACCTACATGATCAAAAGTATGATAAAAAATATTACCTTCTACAATAAATTTATCGATAATTAATTGATCTCTTGCCTACATTAATAAACGTATTTTCCTTATCGATAAGGTATCTACGAGTACCTATACTTCGACTTTGCCTATCTCTTTACAACTAGGGAGTTGATGTTAAGGCTCAATTTCTATTCCTGTATTATAAAATAACGTGACTTATCTAACGAACACTAGTTCATTTCATTATACTGTATGCTCTACTACGATATCAAAAGATAATAATGCGGTGTTCTTAAAATTCAAATAACTAATTTGGTCGTAGAATTAACAATTAGGAGGTTGCAAGAACTTTGTATCTTACAAAAGGGTCTGATATTTAAAAACGTTATTCACATTAATGTATAGTTTATTTTCGAACAGGTTCGTCGAAATAAAAACGATTACTTGCCTGTGCTTCTAAAAACGTTTTTGAATATTTAAAACGCATAATGTACTGAATATAGCATACAAATTTAATAAAATTATGCTATTAATGAACATCTATTCAGATACTTTGGTAATTTATAAGAACCTATGGTTTGTTTTGTTTATCGTTTCTTAGCAACTCTTGCAAGTTTTGAACAAGCTATTGCCGTAATTGTAAGTTTAAATTTGCCGCTTATTTCCACTTTATTAGTCATCATCAGACATCGTTTTTGTTCCACGTTTTTTTAATGACTTTTGTTCATATTGAAAACGCAAAACTCACTAATAGCATTGCTAACTTATATCATAAACTGAAAGCTTGTAGTTTAAGAAATTGCAGCCAGAATGTCATTTTTTTATATACAAAAATAAAACTCATACAATCATACTATGTGAACTGGCGAAACTGTCGTGTACACAGAACACCATGGTCGTGTATCTATGCATACAAAGAGTGTCGTAAAATGAATATATATTTCAATACCTATTTATAAAAAAAAAGTCAGATATTACACAATGTTTAATGGTGTAAATTCTTTTGTAGACAGATATTAATCTTATTCTCTTAATAATACAATGGCGCCCTCTGTGATGAGAAATTATTAGTTGCTTAGTCAACAAAATCGGCTCTTTATTTCTTCGTATGAGGCTACGCATTTTAAGGTTGGCAACCCTAAAATCTCCAAATTTTTCATAATACATATTCACTATTCCATAGAGTTCAATAATTTATCATTCATTCCATAAAGTTTATGGTCCGATTTTAGTTTCTTTTCCTTTTCTTGGCAAGGCATTGCGAGGTTAACATATTTTTATCGTATTTAATCTTAATTATACTGAAACGAATTTAATTATATTTTCGAAATATTGGTTCTTGTATACATGTTCCACATATATTATTAATTATTTCTGTTATTCAGTGACAAATCTAAATGTTATGAATATCTGTAATCGTGTTATTTATTGCTAATAATAGTGTACAACAAAGTAATAAAGTTTATTTTATTTAATTTCAGAACATGCCTTTCGCTCGGTACGTAGAACCGGGGCGTGTCGCCCTGGTGGCCGATGGAGCCCTAAAGGGAAAGTTGGTTAGCGTGGTAGATATCATAGATCAGACACGCGCACTTGTTGATGGACCCGGCAGCGGTGTTCCTAGACAACAAATCCGTCTGAATCAACTTCATTTAACTAAGTTCCGCCTTAAATATCCCTTCACTGCACCTACACGTATCGTAAGGAAAGCATGGACCGATGCTAAACTTAATGAGAAGTGGGCCGAGAGCCAATGGGCACAGAAACTGGCTAATAAAGAAAAACGCGCCCAAATGACAGACTACGACAGGTTCAAGTTAACATCAGCCCGTGTAAAGAGGAACCGCGCCAGGACAGCAGTCTTTAAGAGCTTGAAGGTGAAGGCGGCGCGTGCGGGCACCTTTGGCAAGAAGAAAGTCCCTAAAACACCAGCAAAGAAACCGCGTACAAAGAAGCCCGCCGCTAAGAAACCAGCCAAGAAGTAATTCTTTTGTGTCTGAAAGTTAAAGTGTGACTATTTATGGACAGATTTAAAATAAAGAATTACTTTTAGCTATTTACTGTATTATTAGAATTCCATAACTGTCCATATAAGTGACAATAGGTGAGTTTATTGAGTTTTGTAGAACATGTGATGTTTTTGATTTACTCAATGTTTTTTATGTTTCAGCCTGTATCAACGGAGTGTTATTTAAGGTTAGTAACTAGTGCAACTTTCAATTTGCTATGAATTGATATTTTTATGAATATATATATAAACAAAAATATTATTCTATAACTTTAAACTATTTTACCAGAAACAATATTGTAACATGGTTTATTCATACTACTAATCCAAATATTTTTTCTTGCAGATATTGATGGAGACAGAGCATGAAAATAGGTCAGTATAATTTAATACCTATATTCATTTACCCTACCAAAGCCGATGTGTGTACAGACAAAATCTATCATGCGTGACTCTGGTTAGGAACATTATCACACTCTGTGTAAGAAATGTGAGTTTCTATAGCCACATCTCTAAGGGTTGAGTGTGACATAATTAATCTAAAATGATACCTTCTTTTTTTATTTGTATCAGTTATTTTTGTTACCAGTCAAATCCTTCACAATCTCGCTTCAATGAGAGATATCATGAATATCACATACTATATTCATGATACCTACCTAGTATATAGGTTACTTTCCATAAAATGTGTAATGTCTTGTTTCGCTAGAATAGCTTATTGCTTTTTAGTATAAAAAACTAAACTTGTTGACCTATCTACAATACAAGACTTAACACTAAACTAATTTAATTTATTTTTGTTGACAGATTTGTAAAAGAAGCAAGATATCTAAGAATGAAATAAAGATTGCCATAACCTGCTAACTTACCGTAAGTTCTCAAAGATTTTGTAACTTGTATCTTTCTCAATTAATATTTTATCATATAAAATGATGATTTGAATATAGTCTCGTTCGTATGAATCAATGATTTTAAATTTACCGAAATACTGATAATATTTTTATCATTTTAACTCTACTGGAACAGTCAGTACTTCTTTTTAAATATGTTTATTTTTATGTTACCAGGAGTTGGAATCATTTGGAGTACATGGAGTTTCAGTTTTCTGTTCTTAAATCGGTTAGTATACATATAACTACATTTGTTTTCAATAACAAGTATGTTGTGTAAAATATATTTTATGATGACTAATAGTATCGCCCCTAGCTGAACAGTGATGATTGATCTTTACTGATTTAATATATAATAATATAAATTTATTGATATTGCATCAATATTTTTTTTACATTACAATATCTTTTTCAGGTCAGTTGAAGCTAACAACTAGGAGAATTTTCAGCAATCATTGGTAAGATATTATTTTTCTTTATACTATGCTGTTACGACATTAGTATTATCCCTATCTGAGTATCTGATCACCCACCAGGAGTTGTCATTTTATAGTGGTCACAAAAAAAATATATTTAAAAGTAGCACTAAAATTTAAATTATATATTTCAAATTAATATTATAATAGTATAAAAAAAAAATTGTACCTGCATACTTCTAATTAACAAACCTTATGATGATATTTATATCGCCCCAGTCTGAAGAAATGTGTTGATTGATTTTCTGAGTGTAATTATTGTACAATTTACAAATTCACAATTGTCTATAAATTTATATTCATAAGGCTTATATTTTTATTTCAGATGAATAGAAGAAATGAAAAGGAATACATATTGCATTTGACTACATCATTGGTCTGGTTATTGTTATGGTAAGTTATTTCTTGAATTATCAAATTTTCTTTCATATAACATCTTTGTAAGGATAAATTTGTATGCTAATTATATGCACTGACATACCATGCCATTACAATTAACATCCACTTTTGGTTTCACTAGTAGGCATCACTCTTGTTGTGGCGAGAAATATATTTAAATAAACATTTCTGTAATCATAATATTCAGAGGCAGCCAAATTAAATGATGCTACTATACAAGCATATATCATATATTTTTGATGATATTTTTTCCTGATATAAAGGTTCAATGAATATATAAATATTATAATTGGAATTAACATCTTTAATCATTATTAAAATTTTATTTCAGATGTCTTCATTGAAATTCAAAAATCTATGTGTTATGGTAAGTAGTTATTGCTAACAATCTTTTTAAGCCAGATATTAAAATTCTATAACTATTAAAACACTTCTTGTGCCTTGAATAAAATACTTTTTATTTAGAATGCATTCATTAATTACACTTAATGGTGCTAAAATAATACCGATTACTGACATTTTAAATAGATTATTGTTAGAACATGATAATTTGCCATCGTAATATTAACATTATAAAAATTGCTTAATGATGATAGAATTTAGTTATCCCTGTCTCACAAAATCATGGGGAAAATTATGGTATGGTAACAACTGAAATATTCAGTGAATTAATACAGAATATGATTAAATATGAAGTATGTATTCAGTGTATTTGTTGTTTCAGATGACCAATGAGGGATTAACTAGGAATAAGATTGATGTCATCCCCAATTTGGTAATTATGTTTACTTACATTAGACAAGACAAGTAGTGATTTCTCTACATGCTGTTCAGAGCAAAGAGACAACCTAAATGTAATTTATTTAACCGCCAATTACTTAAAATTTAAAAAAATGTTGATTCATAAAGTTTGTAATCTCAAATTATAAACGCATTAATAAGTGGTTAGCCACTAATTCCAAGTATTACATAGATATTCTTACATGTACAAATATGTAGCCTAAATATTTAACAATTGAAATTTAGTTTTTTTTTTAACTCACTAATATACACTTTTATATTTATCGCATGTTGTTATGATGAATTACTAAGTTATCCCTGTCTCACAAAGCCGTGGAGAAACTATGGTATATGGTAACTACTGAATATCAAGACTATAAAAAAAATTAACTATAGAGTTATGTGCAACTAATGACCTTCATTTTATTGATCACAGGTCAATGCCAGAATCTGAAGTTCGTGAAGTACAAAAGGTAATTTTTTATTTAAGCGCAAACTTATGTTGGCAGCAGATTTGATATTATTAAATCCTATAAATTCCACCTTATCATTTAAATGTAGTATACGTTAAATTTTTATGATGAACTTTTAAGACAAGCATATATCTAGAATTTACTTGAAGACGTAAATAACTGAAAAGAAATTGTACTGTATTATTACTAATTCCTTTTAATATGTAGTAAAATATTTTCTATTTGTTTCAGGTAAATGAAAGTTACACACACTTGTATCACGAAGAGAATTCACGAGTCGTGAAATCTGCAGGAAATATGTCTAGTTAAGTTTTAATTGCACTTGAGTTAATAAAAGCTTTATCTATACGAAAGCCTTTCAATGTAATACTAGTAACGAGTTTTTTTTTTTACTAATGATCCAGGAAGTCTAAGAAATTTATTAAATAATTCCATTATCTAAAAGGTAAGGGAAAAATTTCACTCAGTTATTATAATTAATTAACTTGTAATCATCGGTGACAGGCTCGTAATATTGAAAAACTTGCACACCACACTGTACTTTCGACTAATACCAAAATGCATTGAATGCTCCTAGTATGTATATAAATCGAACATTTAATTAAAAAGTTTCGTATTTACCACAACAGCCGGATTGAGTACGAATTTGGTCAGTTGCTAAACTGTAATAGATTATTTCATAGATTTGTAGTGTACTATAGATATGAATAAATTAAAACATCTTGTATATTATTTCCCCTTGCAACAATACTGATCCATAAGTAAACCAGTGCTGTGCTATATTCAGTCGATTTATTAATAAATATATATGTAAAATATATAAAACGTACTTATTATATGTCTGAAAAAATGGCCATTGCGGTTTGTAGATAGAGCCCCGTTTATCGTTCTGTAACCACTTCCATCCACTGTATCTACTTTGTACTCAATAGAAGTTGTTAAAATAGGTAACATTTTGTACTTTTGTCATTTATAAACTGACAAAATGCAGTACATCATAGTAACACAGTTAGAAACAACGGGACTAGTATCTTGTAAAATACAGGTAAGTCAGTATACCTATTCTATGTTACATTTTCCACCAGTGGAGGTTCATGATTAATCACGATTCATTGCATTGTACTGTATGAAGGAAGTACCTATTTTTTATTACATTGATTAAATGGTCCCATCTCTGCAAATACAATTAACTACGATGTTTTCTATGGTATCTATTTGACCTGACCATTGTTAGCAATGGGACAATACGGCTCCGTTACTAAGGTCAGAATATTTTAAAGCAGTCTAGTTCGCCAGAATACAAATATATTTCAAAGGGGTCCACTTTCTCTTAACATTTCTTGATTATTTTCTATAATAAGGATTTAATTCCATTACTAAAATGGGAAATTTAATCAGTTTTCAATTATCATCATCTTTTCCTGATTGATTTCATTGTTGACATAGATAAACCAAGACGTCGCGTCGTCGCGTCGGGTGTATATTTATCTATGTAGTTATGTAGGAATATTATAAATACTTTTTTGTTTTTAAACTATATATTGTAATATGTTGATCAGGGATTGAACGACGTGGATAAATTAAAGATAGAACAAGAATTAACAAAGTCAGGTTTGGTTTACATCATAAAAGATAAATTTATTGAAATCGACATTCAAGGAGTGCAAGTACTAAATCTCCTCGCTGGAAATCATTACAGGTAACACTATAATAGAGGAAACAAAATCTAGAGATCTGCGAACTAAATTAAGTTATCGTAGGGTTAGTAGTGAACTAATATGCACAATACTAATTCGCAGTTAAATGAACTATTTTAGAAATTAGAAAGACTAATAAAGAGAAAGTTAATATTTAAAAGATGCTGTTTTTGAGATGTGTCTCTATATAATTCAGGAATCAAAATGTATATCCGACTCTTAATTCCTTAGAACCAGAATCCCAAAGACTCCGGTTTTTCGTTGTTTTACGCCAAAAAATGTGAAATCCTCCTCTTAATAATTTCAATCCATTTGAAACTCGAATGTTCACAAATACATTGGATAATCAGTCTAGTAGCTATATGACACTATGTGCACACGCTTCAATAAGAAATATTGTATGCAAATTTAAATTACTTTTTTAAATATAAATTTATGGATTTATATTTACCATAAATATAAACTATAAGTATAATTACTTTAGGTGTTAAAGATTTTCATCTGCAACTCTTATTCGCTCGCAAATTAAATAGTAATATAAAAGACCAATACTTTTTATTTCTAAATAAAAAGTGATTTAAATAATCAAGTTCACCAATTGTCATTATTTGCCTGAAACTTTATGTGCCTTATTTACTGTTTCGAAGTAAAAAATGTCTGCTATGACTATTTATTGATTCTATTATATGTATATTACTTTTATTGCAGCTACAGAATTATCGGACAATCAATGATTATGGAAGAATCTAGTGTTGGAGGAAGAATTAGTAAAGTTGAAAAAATTACATGGACTTTAAAGAAAGAAAAATGAAAGCTGGCTTGGTTTTGTAACTAGCTCAATGAAAATTGTTTATTAAAATATACATTTAACATAAAATATGTAACAACATTAATTTCCATTTTCTATCGTCAATTCACTTTGGCAGTCACTCGGCAATCTATCAGTAAATAACTCAGGTATCTGAAAATAAATTACAAGTTACTTATCAGTAAACTTAGAAAGCTATTGTGCTAATATGGTTTATATTATATGTCTGGCGCCGATTTTAGACAAAACAAAATAAAAAGTACCTGTGGTGTATAAGCTTCGACCCTATCAAGCAAGGTATCCGAGTAGCCAGGCGTATAGTACCTAAAAAAACTAGAATTTAAGTTATCCTAGAATAGCTATATATATATTTTGGCTACTTTTGAGAAAGTTCAGCTTTTATGAGATAATTGACTTAACATTACCTTACTATTTCTTCAGGAAAACAACTATTTATTATGTTGATATATTCTTTGAGCGCTGTCCCTGGAACAGTATCTATCTCTTGTACTCTTTTTAAAGCACCAGTAGTTACAAATAATCTTCTAGCTCTTGCGTCATTAGGAAGTATCTTAAATATAAAACGTTAAAACACTAAAACTAATATCAATTTATAATTACAAGTCTGATCTTTACATACATAAATTGATTATTCAGACTAACCAAGGCGGCCGGTAAATATAATCACAAATATTTCTTTAATAAGGCACCAAAAACCTTTTGACTCGCAGTAGACATATAAATCTCAATTTCCCATTCAAATATAGGGATAGAAATTGTTATTAATTAGGACCAGTGATTCCATTGCCAGCAATGTAGGTCATATCTACCATGTACGGTCGTGTATATTTAATTGTTAGACACGTTTGTCACGATAGTTTTACTGATCCGACATCCTGCCAGTGCCCGATTAGCCTAGTAGCAACAGTAGGAAATTAGGAATTTGTTAGAGCTCCTCTCTGGTTTAATCCGGCACTACTTCCTGATCAACTTATCATTTGGTTGGGAAACATCAGTCATCGTATACAGTTAGCGCAAGCAGTATATAACATATGTAATCGCCCTAAAAATATGTTACTTACTCTGTGGAGTACATAAATTTAATATGTCAGACAATGTCAGTAAGACATCGTTGTCACTTAAAACTATCAACTATGGAAATGAATGTTTTTCTCGCCTAAAGTCACATTGGTTATTTATTTAATTTCACTTACCACATCTAGTTAATCCGTAACAAAAACAAAAATATAAAATCTATACTTATTAAATAATGTACTTGTGAAAGGAATTAACGTGTCCTTATAATATACAATTTAAATAATGGCCGGTAGAGGCCGAGGAAGGGGAAGTGGTTTGTCTTTAACCCAAGAACAATATCAAACACTTGGAATTACTCGTGGAGACAACACTCCAACGCCTCTTGCTCCTCCCCCGTTATTCCCGAAACTCGAAACAAAACCGCTGCCATTAACATGTGATGCCACAACAGATTATATGTTGATTGTAAAAGATCAATTTATAGAATATTTACACGAGACTCCTGCTTATGTGAAACTTCAAGCACAAAGCGATGGTATTGAACGATATTCTGATAAATATAAATTATTGTCCATAAATGCCAAACAAGGTAAAATTTTGGATTGCGTGTGGAACCATATGCCCACAGAGTTGAGACCTCAAACAGCACGCATTCGAGTTACTCGTAAAAGAAAACTTGATGACGCTACGGATATTTCCAAGAGGTTGGAAACACTCGAAAACAAGGAATTGCAAGAAGAATCTGGTGACACTGCAGTAGTAAGTGAAAATGAAGAGGTAAGAAAAGATGGCATTGAGGAAGAAGATTTAGAAGATGAGGAAGAACAGGACTATGAAGTGGATGATGGCACAGATTATGCAAACAATTATTTTGATAATGGTGAGGAATATGATGAAGAAGATGACAATCTAGATGACGGTCCAATATACTAAAATAATCAAATGTATATATATAATAGGTAGTATAAATTAATTAATTTGCCTCAGATTATGCTGTATATATTTATGAAAGTGGAATTATACCTTAGCATATTGTGCCAGTACATATTTAAGTATGCAAGCTGGAGCTGCATGCAATAGAGGCTCTAGTGCAGGACGATGTAGACAGCACTGTAGAGATTGCTTTAGTGCACAAGATGTCCGGGCACGAACCTCTCCTGAGGATTTTGGATTTGTATATAACTGTGAAAATATATATTATAATAATTTTTAATCTATTTAAATAATCATATTGTTTGATTACCCTCCCTTGTAGGCTTTAAAAGTTGATAAATTGAATTCTGTGGACTCAATGAACTGTGTGGACACAGTTATGGAAAACCAATTACAAGTAGTCTGATATAACAGAATATCTAATGTTGAGATGTTAGAATGACTGTTTTAAGTCTGAATGTTAGATGATTCATAAATATTGTAGTTAAAGTAATATTGAAAGCTGAACAGCACCTGCAACAGTCTGGGTAGAGTGTTAGCAACAGCTATGGCTAGACTGTGTTGCGGAGAGTGCTTTGATATGTGGCCAATTGTCCATGCTGCAGCACACAATTCTGCATCCTCTGCTTCCATATTTTGCAATATCTCCACTAAAGCTGGAATCGCCTTTGTACCAAAATTTTATGCATCAGTAACTTGCAGGGTGTATGAACAAATTATATATCACTTCTATGCCCATATAGTTAATAATAACTATATGGGCATAGAAGTGATATATGGAAGTGGAATTATAGTATTATTTTATAGGAATTTTTGCAAACCTTAGCCTCTATAACAGCCATCGCCAGCTGATCGGACTGGCCGGCAATAAAACCCAATGCCATGCACGAAGGGACACGGGCGCCTCCTGCTGGCTCTGATAACAGCTCCACTAGAGGCCCGCAGCCACCCGTGTTCACAACAAGCTGCGCCAACTAATTATATCATTAAATAGGTTACCAGATGCAAAGCGTCAATTTTATGACCGACAGTACCATTATATACCCATGAGTACGGCATTATAAACCATAATTAAAATAATATTATTTAACAATTAATAAGTACCTGTCACTATAAAAATTAATAAAAAAATCACAATAAAAAGGAAAGTAATTGAAGGATTGATTAATTAATCAGTTTAAGTTATTGGAAGGAAGCATATAAACGAACAAAACAATTTTAATAAAAATTAAAACCGCTAGATATTATTATACGTAGTGTCGTAGCATTAAAAAAAATGCAAGTATAGACAACATATGTTGCATACAAGATAATTTAATAAATCTAAATGTTAGAAGTACGTAGGCACTGGGAGGCTAGGACGTTGGCTACATTCGTCTCTATGTACTATAGGTATTTATAATAATATGTTCCAAACATAACTTGTTAAAAATCTTTGTTCACTATGAACACGGACACTATTTAACCATCTTTATATGAACTCAAACTCAAAAGATATGATAGTTTTGTTATCGATATTCGATATTTATATTTTTTTATAGCGACTAATAAGGATGAGACAAAATTAAATATAACGAACATCGACAGAATGTTTCACAATGTCTCTAAGCAGACATGCGGCGGCGCGTCGCACAGGTGCAGAATCATGGCCGGCATGAAGCAGTGCCGGTGGCAGAGCCCCACCAGCTACTACGGCTTCCGCGAGCTCCGACCGCGCACCAGCTACAGCGCCCAAGGCACACAACGTACTGCGCTAATTTTTTAAACTGTTTTAGATAATTGTTGAAGGCAATTGAATTCCTCTTTAGTAATAGCTAAATTACTGTTAATAATTTAGCTATTACTACTTACCTACTAGTTAAATAGTGATAATAGTAAAATCCTGGCTTAAACCTATTAATTAGTATTTAGTAATATTGCAAAAGTATTAAACTATGCTACGTCAAAAAGTTAAAGTGGTAATAAGCACTTAGGACCATATTTTTATTACAGAATAGCAGCGTTTTACCTGAAATAAAACGCATATTAAAGTACTTACCTTATTCGAAGCTTATTATTGAGATAGGCACTTCCGTTTCCCGTCATTTTTACGTCATGTCCTACCTATTTACTCGAATATTGGTACTTCCGGCAGCGTCACCGTGCAGTGGCGCCCTCTATATCCTTAAAGTAAGTTTAGTTTTTAAACCCTGGCGCCTGTATGGCTCATTGGATCGAAATTGAATGCACCAGGCAGAAATAAAAGATAAGCTTCGAATAAGGTAAGTACTTTAATATGCGTTTTATTTCAGGTAAAACGCTGCTATTAAAGCACTTGACCGTTATTCGAAGCTTATTATTGAGAAGTGTCTGTTATCGCCTGGTGATGCTGCAACCAAAGTACCAAAGGAATAAATACGCCAATGTGAATAAAATAAAATAAGGAGAAATAATATTATATTATAAATATTTATTTTAATCAAAGTTATTATACATAGCGTAGAAAATTTCAAACGAAAACAGTTCCTCCATATAAATTAAATACTATTTTATAAGTATATCGTTACCAATAATTAACAAAAGAAAATCAATTCATGGGACTAAATAAGTGCGCTACATGTGGAGAATCATCTGCGGCAATTATTTGACGTTGATAAAATTTGTGAAATGTATTGGCTGATCGCCAATTCCCACGAGCTAATATATCATCCAAGGGATAATTCTTGATCCAGTTCTTTGAAGCCACTGCCGAACGCACGCTTCCTGGTGTTCCAGTAATATTGGCCTCAATAAATAAGGTTTTTATCCAACTAGATATAACAGTACGAGATGCAGGCTTAGGATCGCCTCTTAATGTAATAAATAATTCATATAAATTATTAGTTTTTCTTCTATCATTTAATATAGCTATAGTTTTATCTAACCAAAATACTGGATTAAGATTATTATTGTCCGTATTATTTAGTAATTTCCACCCAGATTGTCTGTGTGAGCTATTGTCGGTTTTTGAACCGAATTGCGGCCATAATATAATATTATCGTTGTATTTAATACAATGTTCAGGATCAATTGTAAGCAACGTTAGGTCATGAACGCGACGCCCTGAACACAGGAGTAAAAGAACTGCTGTATGGCGCACAGTTTTAAAAATATTATTTTCGTTTACTGTATAACTAGATAAATAAGAAATTAATTTACTAACATCCCAAATAGGTATCTTTGGGGACTTAGTTATGTTTGGGGACTTCAAGGAAATAGCTTTCAAGATATGTTTAACTAGGACATGAGAGCTAAGCTTACTTGACGTTTCTACATTACATAAGGTAGACACAACAGATTTATGTAAAAGAACTGTACTGTACGATAAGTTATGTAATAAGTAAAGGTCTCCTAAGAACTGTGCTAACTGACCACCTGTTGGATTTCTAGAGTCAACCTTGTTAGTATTAGCCCAGCTAAGCCATCGTTTCCAAGCTACATCGTATGTTTTTGAAGTGGATAGACGCCAGGAATTCTTAAGTAACTGACGCTGTTCAGGTGTCCAAGTGTTTAATGCCGATGACCACCCCCACATTTCCATATCTCTAGAATCAATTCCTCTACCTTGGGAGGTGGGCGACCTGTCGTTGTGTCTACTAGATACCGTTCCAGATTTTTCAGTGTGAATGGCGCTGCGAGTGATCGGGCTTTGAGGTCGGCTCGCCAGTATACCTTCTTCCAACGAGGCACCACTAGAAGAAACGTTCCTGTTGAATTGTTGAGGTGAGTAAGCACCTTGGGAATTAGAAAAGGTGGTGGAAATACCCAAGCCAGGGGATAATTCCAGGATTGGCTGAAAGCATCGTGATATACAGCCAGAGGGTCCTTCAAATCTAGTGTGACATAATTCAATACCACGTGAGCCCTGTGGGATGCAAATAGGTCTATCGCAGGCAATCCCCACTTCTTGAATACTTTTTCTACGCATTCTGGAAGCAGGTGCCATTCGGGAGGTTGACGGTGTCTCGACAGATGATCCGCGTGGCTGTTGAACCTCCCTGGAATGTAATGTATTGTAAAATGTATTTGAAATTCGTCTAGTATTTTCAGAATTTGATAAATTATTTCCAGCAATTGAACTGATATTGTGCCTCCTTCTTTTCGCAAGTATGTAACGGCAGTTTTGTTGTCGCATTGTATGAGGATGGAGTTGCGACTCATCAGATGGCAATGACTTTGAAGTACACGCAATATTGCAAGTAATTCCTTCTGGTTGCAGTGTAATGGCTCCTCGTCTTTCGACCATAGACCGGAGAGGGTAATATTGTCCAACTGCGCTCCCCAAGCTATATCTGACGCATCTGTTGTCAGGAACATTCTTGGTGGCGGATAATGAAGGGGTGTTGAGAAATAACAATTTTGAACCCACCATGTCAGTTCTTGCTGAATTATTTGAGGTAAAGAATAGATCACCCTCGGATTGTCTGGTAACTTGCTCACGAATAGAAGCAGCTGACGATGATTGAGCCGGCCTCGAGGAACTACAAAGCTTGCGAAGTTCATGAGACCGATCAACTTTTGTAGTTCTCTTAATGTTCCTCTGTTGTGTTTTAGCACTTTGCTTACATTTTTTACAATTTTTTCTGACTTTTCTCTTGGTAAGCTCTTTTGGTTCTGCCATGGCCACCACTGTACTCCTAGAAATATCAAACTTTTTTGGGGAATTAGAATAGACTTTTTGAAATTTATTTTCCAACCCAGATATTTCAATATGTTTACTGCCTTTTTTACTTGATGTTTCAGGATGTTGATATCTTGATGAGCAAGTAGAAAATCGTCCAGGTATACGACAATTCTTACATTTTGTTCTCTTAATATCTGTGCTACCCAATTGGTAAGAAGAGAAAATGTTTTGGGTGCGGTGTTTAGTCCGAATGGTAGGCACGTCATTTCGTACAATTGGTGGTTGTAAACTAGACGTAGGAATCTCCTGTGAGATGTTCGTATTTTGAGATGAAAATAAGCCTGTGAAAGGTCTATTTTGCAGAGCCAATCTTGAGGTTGTAAAAAATCTGGAATGCGGTACATGTTTATTAGATGGAAGTGATCTGTTATTACAAATTTGTTTAAAGCTTTTAAATTGAAGATTGGACGAGCTGTGCCATCTGTTTTTAGTACATGAAACATTGGGGAGATGAAACTTGGTGAAATAGAGACTTTCTTTATTATTCCTTGATGCTCCATATTGGATAATATTACTGACATCTTTTTCGAAGTAGGAGTTTGATATGGACATTTCTTCAGATTTGGTTTTATTAGCGGAGGTATTTGAGAAAAGGGTATGCGATATCCTTGTATTAATTGCAGGATGACCTTTGGTGCTCCCATTAATTTCCATTGTGGATAAAAATGTGCTAATTGGCCTGCTTTGAAGTGTTGCGAGTCATTGTTTATAATGCCTTTTTCTCCCTCTGGATGCCCGAGGGGGAGACTGTCGGCTTCGATCACGATGTCCTTGAGTACCGGACCGCGAGCCACGGTTACGAAATGTGCCTCGGTTATGAAATGACTCTCTTTCTGATGTGCTTGGCTGATTAAATTGAAAGTCTACATTATATCCTTGAGCATGACCCTGGTAATGTGGGTATCTTCCCCGGGAAGATTTATAATTAGTGCGTAATGTGTTAAAATCAAAATTATTTCTCGAAGTACCACGCGATGGTATTGCTTTAGACGAACCCGACCCCCGCGAGGGGTGGTAATATTTTACGCTGTGTCGCTCTTGAAACCTTGCATCATTCTTTGCAGGCCAGAATGCCTTGCAAACACCGCCAGCTTTTTCTAAAGCCGATGAGAAAAGATCACTGTTAAATAAATTTGTTGTTGATGGCGGTATTTTGTTAAGGGATGCTTTAACAAGTGGATCTCGAATTTGTCTGAGAATAGTATCTCTGCGCATTTCAATACTCTCGGCTCGGTGTCCACACGCTAATTGCAAGAGGTCAGTAGATATTTTGTGTAAATGGCCTTTTAGAAATATTTGTTGGATCTTTTCATCTAATTTATTTAGACTTCCTTCTGGTGACTTTGACCATGTCACAAGTTGCCTTAAGCTGTCTTGTAATGCTTCCTTTTGTTCGAGAATGCAGTATGTTATAGCTGCATATGATCTTTCTGCATATTTTAAGTTACACGAGGTGTCGTACTTTTGTACCTCTTCGTTGGTATCTAGATCAATGAAACCTGGAGAATGAATGTATTGCTTTTGGGTATCAGCATATCTAACTTCTGACCAAGAATTTTTTCCCAGTTGCTGCACCTCATTAAGCATTTGTAAATAAATGTCTGGTGTTTTAAGGACAGAAGGTTCTTTTAGTTTTGTTGTTATCTCAAAAGCAAAATCTTCTGGCGGATTCTGTATGCTATTATTATTAGATTGACTCTCGTTTGTATCAAAAATATCGTTTCCATATAATTCACCACTAACCTCTGAACATATAGATGCTGCTTCCTGGTCTCTGTCGTAGAAGGACCGGCGTAAGTCACCCACTTCTTTAAATAATTGTTGTATCATTTTTTCTGTCCGTTGTTTTTTAACTTTCTTGTTACATTTTCGTCGTGATCTTTTTCTTTTAGAATCATACGATGCATCAGACGATGACGTGTTCGTTGAGCTACAATTATTACATGAACTATTACTGCAATTACTTTTGCTTCGACTACGACGCCTTTTACGAGTCTTTTCACTTGGTCCAGCCACTATTTGGGCATTTGGAGAGCCCTCAATTGCACTCATACTGTAAGAGAAGCTGTAGATGAACACTTACTTGCTAAATGATTAGTCAAAAATAACTCACTGTTAAACTAGACTAGAAATGTTTTTTTTTTTTTGAAATAAAAAATAAAAAGGAGTAATTCCTAAACTGCGAGTACTTTAATATCCATAGAATAATCACAAAATTGCAATATCTTTCATTAGACATCTAATCGTTTGATTAAACAGGTAGGTACACAAAATTAGACATAAAAGCTTAAATATATTTAATTTAAAATCAGAACCTGTAGGTTCAAAATTATATCGAACGGAAAACCCGTTAAATAAAATCACTGGAAATATGTTCATATTACCTTAGTTGCTATTTGAAGATTTTAATACTGGAGTAGCAAAGCTGCTGTACTCAGGTTACTTCGACGGGAAACAAAACGCCAATGAGCCATACAGGCGCCAGGGTTTAAAAACTAAACTTACTTTAAGGATATAGAGCAGGATATAGGCAGCGCCACTGCACGGTGACGCTGCCGGAAGTACCAATATTCGAGTAAATAGGTAGGACATGACGTAAAAATGACGGGAAACGGAAGTGCCTATCTCAATAATAAGCTTCGAATAACGGTCAAGTGCTTTAATATAAATTATTATAAGTAGATATTCTTAACTGTTATACTTACTGAAATGCCCGCCATACCTACCTTTAGTTTCGGATCTTGATTTTCCAATCCGCGCACTAAATGACATATAGCGCCTGCGTCGACTACAGCCTCCGGTTTATGTTGAGCAAGGTCCACCAGAGCTCCAGCAGAAATCTTGTTAGAGGTATAAGAATATATGTATACTAATATCATAAAGAGGTAAAGTTTGCAAGTTTAGAAGTTCAGGGTAATCCAGTACTACTGATCCGATATTGAAAATTCATCAAGTGTTGGATAGCTCATTTATCGAGGAACGCTAATATCATGCTATTACCGACAGCAGCGGAGCCGCAATGAGAATTGTTGTAATAACGAGCAAAATGTGACACTGACGAAGTTGCGGGGGTAAGCTATTATTTAAATAAAGTAGAAAGATTCCATCTTTGAAAGGAAACATACCTGTTTCAAACTCATTTCAGGTTCTTGAAAAGCCAGTACAAGTAACGGTAGTGTTCCTGCATCTACGACTAAGCCCGCCAATGATTCGCTATGCTTTCCAATATATCCCAACGCCCACGCTGCGTTCTCTTTGACCTAAAAAAATATCTATATACCTATTGTCAGTGGGGGAGGAGGTTGTCAGTAATGAGAAAAAATGTGTCACGTGGGGTTAACCTATAGGTAATGTCCTCTCCGGAAAACGTCTTGGCTAATTTCTGGTGAATTCTACATGATGAGCGAACCAATTTGACTACATACTCACCCTACCTCTACCTATCACCCTACACTGGTACCACTCCAGCGTATACCGTTAGCCAAGCGGCAGCATCGTTACATTATCATAAATAACAAAAACTATTGCCAGCTGGTGCAGTTAAGTTCTAAATAATAATGAAATAAGTAAGCTATATTTATAACATCTATTCTAATAGGCGTTGGCAATATTACCTGAGTGTCAAAATCTTCAAGGCACGACACGATATGTTCTAGTGCACCCAGCCGAACTATAGCTCCCGCTAATTCTTCATTATGTCTGTATTAATTAACAGAATACTGATAAGAATAAATACGTAATACATATAAACTAACGCTTTTATGTAACCTCCAAAGAACAATTCTGATCATGACTTCGTACAAACAAAAATGCATCGTAATTGGACCATTTGTTTAGGAGCTACCATGCCACAGCCAGACAATAATCTGTTTAGGTACTTATTACTATTGACTAAGATATAAAATTATGGTAATATTATGTAATATTATATTATCTGTGGTAATATTGAATAAATTCTTACTTTGCCACAGCTCTCATCAAGTACAATGCAGATCTTTTATAGTAGATCTGAAAACATAATTATATAAATAAATACAACATTTTTAATTGTCCTTATATATCAGACAATATAAGTACCTACAAAATTGAAAAGTACAAATTAATAACAACAATAAAAGTAACAGTTATATATTGATAGGATATTCACCATATCAGTATGGAGGTCCACCTCTCCTTTTTATCTTAAGGACGCAGTAATCCACTACTAAGGGAACAAAATAAACTAATGCAAGAGACAGAGTACTCAATTTAAGCCTCTATACTGAGCCGCTTATCCGGCGTCGTAATTACAGGCTATTTCTTGCTCTCATAATGAGAGACCAATGCGCCATTTGTTCTCAGCAGTAGGAAATACCTAGATACAACCTAACCCCTAATAGGCAGAATATGTAGTGTGCTGAAACGTACTACACCTATATTCATGAATATGGGCTATTAAATTATCATAATTTATTCGTTCGTGAGTGCGAATAAAATAAACTTTACGCCAGTGGAATCAGTTAATGAAGAATGTTAATAGGTATCTATGCCAAATCGGTTGAAAGTTTGGTATAGTATAGCTTGTATGTATACAAATATATTAGTTTTTGTTTTAGTCAAAAATACCTATTAGTTTTGATTTTATAGGCCACTAAATTTACGATAAATTTCGAGTCCCGCTAACAGTCACGTGACATGTGACGTCATTTTACAACGCTCCGCTCCGCTTAGTAGCAAGTCGCCGGCGGTAGGTCAGTGGCTAAGGAGTTTGTGCATTATTTTGTTTTGTTTTCATACGTGCATTACGTTAATATTCTATTAATGAAATGGATGAAGGAATCGAAAAAGGTCAATCCGATGATCTGCCTAAATTACATGCACTAATGGTTGCCCATTATTTATTTATCAACAAATAGTGATTTCGTTGCCGCCGAAATGCGAGCAATAAAAATGCAAAGGTAAGTTAACTTTTCTTGCTATTTAGAAAATTATTTACTATTTTAAAGTGTTTTGTTAAAAAAAATACCCAACTGATGTCGTATTGCAAGCATTGCAATTCAAATAGGCAGAAGTACCAAACCTTTTAAGTTGTACGTTGTGGACAACAAATGCGTGTTAGAGTTTTATGTCTATAGGTACGTATGTACATATGTGAATATATGTACCTCTTTTAGTAAATTTAACTAAATACATAGGTATATTGATTTATTGCAAATGTAGTGGGTTGAACAGATGTACTAAACCTTTTTCAATTTTGTTTTGTCTTATTAAGGTCGTTTTATTTATTTTTATTTGTAACTTATTCCAGGTCAATCAGGCAAGAGACAGCTTTGGTGATGATGCTATGACAAAAGAGCAAGTGATGTTTGCACGGTCAAATGTAGAATCACGCGCGAACATCGCGTACGTTATCATTACAGTTTAGAATGTAATGAAAAGAAACCAAAAAGTTTTAAACGTAACTTGCGAAGATTGTGCCGCCAACAGAGGCTGTAAACGTACTATAGCATTTCAAATTTGTTGGATTTTTTGTGGTTATAATAAAAATAACTATTACTTTGATGGTTGTATTTGTACATTTCGGCACAACACATGATTTCCTAGTATTTGGTTTGCTTATTTTTAGAGGTATTTACAATTTATAATGAAACGTAAGACGACTCCGTGCTGAGAGCGCGAGCGGACAGAGCGAGTGTTGTACTATGACGTCACACCGTCACACGAGTCCGCATCGCACGTTTACTTTTATAAATCAGAAACTAATTGACGTATTGAAGTAATTCTTTCACGTATATTTTTTATTTTTGACAGAGAATATGGAGAGTTAATATTCAAAATTAGTTAACATTCTTTATTATAGTTTTCTATAACAAACTCACGTTGTATTTGTTAAGGTTTTCTAGAGTTATTGTGACCATGCCCCCATTTAACAGCTGCCTTGCGACGCCTTCGTCGTGTTCACACAGCCTTGCAGCTGCTACCACCGCGCACTGGCGTACTGTGCTGCAGGTGTCCGACAGTAGAGGGCGTAATAGTTCTAATGAAAAATCGTGGACAAATCACGCACGGTACAAGAAACTGACTAAAGTATTGTCGATATATGTATATCAACAATCGGTCGATACAATATGACGCTAGTTGTATGGAAATTGGTACACCTCTTACGTGAAATATTCGACGCCTGTGCTGTAATATCTGTTAAACCTGAACTCCGCTGTTCAAAAATAATTGCGTAGTGGCAGAAATAAATGAGATCGAGGCACCGATATGAAAGTATACTCATTGGAAGGTAAGTACCTATACCCATCTGAACAAAATCTGATCAACTACTTATTATTTTAATTATATATATTCATCCTTTAATATTTTTTATTATATATAAGACAATATAGAATTACAGAGAGAAGAGATGTTTAAGCTACTCACCCAACACTCCAGCACTTTCCAGACATTTAACATTGGTAGCTCTTGTTGCTAACTCGGCCATAGTTTGCACGAACACAAGTCGAGCCTTTTGATACGTTTCAAATACTAGGTAATATGATAAATATTGAAATAATGACTATTAAAATATTATAATTAATTATTATAGATTAAAAACTTTATTCCTTTCACGTCAATCATTACAAAACGACCACTATGGCCAATTTTGATTAAACAAATTTTTCATTTTTGCTAAGCTAAGTAGTGTAACTCTCTCACAGCGTCTGTTTCCTGTCTCTTACAACATTGGGTCTTTGAAGTCAAGAGTAAATATTACTATAGGCACTATTTGAGCTTGCGTGCTTAGACCGCATCATCACTTAACATTAGGCTATATCGCGGTTAAACGCGCTCAAATTTTAAAATAAAAAAAAAGCAAGTAACTTAATGAAAAATATTTCAATTCTATTTAGACCAGAATGATGAACACCAAAAAATATTCTTTTATAACTGGTACACAATATAATGAAGCTATAAATTAAATGTTAGAGATTTACGTTAAAAATTCTGAAACGGAGGACAGGTACCTAATTGAATATTCCTAGAACTGCTCATAGAATGACTCATTTTGTTCAGTTAAAATAAAATGAATTTAGTTTCCAATATGTATCCGTGTACAATGAAATAATTGTTATTGTTGACACTAAACTTCATAATCACACATGTCAATTTAGCACTACATATAATAGGTCATATGTTGGTGTATTATATACAGTATACTGTATACTGTTATTGTAGTAATACTGATATTGGCAACTCATAAAAAATAAACCACAGAAAAATAAGTGATCCACACATGACGGGTATACATTAAGATTTTATCACGATCGCGATACCATCTGAATGGTAGCTTATTATTGTAGGTAGGTTTTATAAACAAAATTAAAAAGTTGCAAGATCTGACCACAAATAGGAGCAAAACACGGTTGCTTACATTACATACCTGTAGATATAATTTCAGTATCAATAGTTCGTGTAACGTAACATGTCTAACTCATAATCAGATAATAAATAAATACCTACCCACATACATTTCTGTTATATACATAAAATAATCAGTTTTAAATTGGTATAAAATATCAAGTCCGAAATATTTTGTAATTGGAAGAATTTCGTTTAGGTTCGCATCGTATACCTAATCATAATACGTGTCTGGCACGCTGCGCACACGCAGAGCAAGCACCCGTGAAGGCCATATATCGTCCAAAACTCGACGTCACGTCTATACCGCACCACATGCACATTACATCTACACGTTAATCTGAGACCACGTATGAAGCTGATTACCTGCTGAGTGGACGCAGTTCACTCACACTTCAGTAGCCACACAACCTGTCGCGGTATCGACCGCCTGCGCCCGCGTGTTTCCATTTTATTACGTAGTATATAACAAGTCGGCAAATGGGCTATTGTTAAAATGAAAACCTCTATTTCCCGGTGACTGCACTTGCGTAAGTAACTAAAGGTTATAGACGACCGATCAGTGCTTAGTGTAAACATCAAAAATGCCTTATATCATGGTAATGGGAAGTCTGAGCGCACCGCACCTCTCAAAGGATGAAGGCGCTACTGTATATGGACTCAAAAGTGAAGAACGAGCCACCTTAGTGCGGGTAACATTTTGTTTTAATAACCAACTTTAAAACATAAACGATTTCGTAAGTCAAGAAGTCAATACAAATAACAAAAACTTCATATGGTAACGTCAGCTAAGACTTTTTGATGTGCGGATGATTAGAAAATAACTATTCTAGTCAGAAATATCAACTCTTGTGCCTTTTTATTTAGTTTATCCTTAACTCAGAAAGTTCAAGCCTCGCAAGTGTGTTCAGAGGTGTAGAGTATTCAGATACATATAAATAGATTTTTTTACCGAGTGTTTATTTCTACTACTAATTCATTTAGGTTTTGTCTCCCTACGAAAGATACATAGCAGGATATTTATGGTATTCTAGATATATATATATATATATATATATATATATATATATTTGATGCATGAATACCTAATCATGATTCCCAAAGGGACCGGGTGGAAATCGACCCAAGATGGTACTGTACATAGACTAACGCTGAGATTCTTAGAATATTATTTAAATAAGTTCCCATGTACAAAATATATATTTAATTACCGTACTGTGTTTGCTGTACTGCCGTATCGATGACTGTCCTATACATTAAGATTTAGCCAATAACGATATTCTAGTAGTCATGTCATGTCGAATGCACACGCTAATGCTCCGCAAACATAGCAAATGTAAAGAAACAAAAGTGCCACATTATCAATAAGTCTGTCACATGTCATGTAGTGGCTATCCCGTATTCAAAGATTGTGTAGGCGAATTCATCCCTCCCATTACTTGCAACAGGCTCAGAAATATTCCTTGTGACAGTCTGTGAGCTGAGACCTATAATCAGCAGTGGACTGTGGTTGACAAGATGATGTTTAATTTTGATAAGATTATGATGTATAATTGTTATATTATAACAATTTAGTTGATAGATAAACAAAGATGCAAGTTAATTTAGAGGTTCTCCTAAATTCACTTGGCCGACTTTGAACTTATGACCTCATTTTAAATCAATGTATATGTGACTGTACCGTCATACGATTTTATAACAAATTGATAAAAATAAGAATTATTGAGTCTTTAATTTTGTTTCCCTACAAAGTTAAGGACTAAATTTAAACCACTCAATTTTGTAGTTTTGCCAGGACAAAACCTGTTCTATGATAATATAAGATGCAGTCTGTATATCAAATATCTCAAAAAAGTTACATTGAAATAAGTTTAAACAGCCTTTACTGGATGATTGACAAGTATCCAAAAATTAAATGACAAAGGTGGGTAGGTAGGGTAAAGTGTGGTAAATGAAATTTCATTGTAAATACAAGATAATAAACAAATGAATAACCGTGTTAAACAAATTTAAGTTAGGTCCATTTAAATACAGATTTTTTGAAAAGTAATACCTAATAATAATAATAATTTTTATTTTGCATCCAATATTTACAATTTAAATTGTTCTCTGGTACCTAAACTAAGTAGAAAGTCGTATTTTAGATACCAGTTTCCTCCTCTTACAATTCACAATAGTTGGAATTACAATTTATAAAAAGACAATCAAATAAGGTACATATTAAATTAAACTTATCATTATTTACTTGCAGTGTGTGTGTTGTGTGAGAGAGAGAAATAAATATTAATACGGGGACAGTATTTCACAGTTTTCATACTCAAGTGGTAAGACCACTTGAGTATGAAAACTGTGAAATACAACCATTGCCATTTCAAAATAATCTTTTTTATATCATGATTACATTTATCCTTTCATTTAATGGTGAACTGTCTTCATCAATTATTATAATATTGCATATTTACTCAGCCGTTTCAACCCAAGAACAATATGGCGTTATTGAGCTATTGTATATATATAAATAAGATCGAATCTATTATGTTTTTGAAAACTATCAATAACATTTAGTTTTATGACTCTTTGTTAGTACTAAATATCAAATATTTTCTAAAAATATTAATATTTGCAGGAACTGAATTCTTCATTTGGGATGTCAATCGCAACATCGTCAGATCAAGAGAGAACGGTGCGAGTTACGCAAAAGGGGTTGACTTTGGTCGTAGTCAACCGCCTCCACGGACTGTTCGGCTACGATGTCGTTTCGCATGCTATGGCGATGACAAACGCCAACCGTGAGCTGATATCCTTCAGTATGTACAAGAAGTCTGGTGGTAGTGGACATGGGCACAGCCACCTTCACGGACACACGAGCTCGCATAAAGTACACCCGCACGGCAACGTGGTCACACTTTAACAAATTGTGACCACTGAACACCGTTAGCGAACTCTCGTGCGACACAAGCTACACATTTATGGCTTTGGGATATTATGTGCTAATACAGGCAGTGATACCATAAAAACGTTGAATAATTGCAATGTGATATACATTCATGTATCAAGAGTATACCATATGTATGAAATTAATTAAATCATTTTTCTCTCAAAAAAGTATCATTTCTTATAATTTATATAAATATGTTGTTTTTAATAATACTTTCATTAGGTTTAAATAAAGAATAGGTTACTTGTGGTTAAATATATTATATTTTATAATACAACGTTGCATAAACAAAATATAAAAGCTATTTCAGTCTTACTATTATATATAACATAATATTATGTAACAATTCGATAACTTATAATATATTTGTTCTAAAAAGAATATAAAAGTAGGAAAATCTAGTCTCTAATATCATTATTCTGATAAGTAGAATTCGACGAACTCCGATTTGGACATATGAATTAGAAAAGATAGAACAATTAATAATTTTGCTGATGTGTATTTAAAAAAGTGATGTAAGGTAAGGAATTACACCTCTTATATCAAAGAGTGTAGTGGCTATCTCATAAAACCAAGACAGCACATTCATGTTTCATGGCAGTTTGCCGAGTGCTAATCACACTGCGGACAATGAGGTATTTTGTATTAACATATTAGAAAAGGCCCTAGGCACTGCATGGTTAGGTATTGTTGGTTAAAAAGTTATTCATTAACAGCTTAAGTTAGCAGTTATAATTTGTAAAAAGTAAATGGCCACACGCCGTCACAATATCGCGAACCATTGCGTTCTTTCTAAGACGCACACAATAAATCATATTACACAGATATATCATTGTTATTTTTTAAATAAGAGCGAATGTTAGAAACTGACAAAAATTCAACAATATCTTCCCAATTGCCCAATTCCACCAAATACTGCCAATGTGTTAATTCACAATGACATTATTCACCATAAAACAACATTACACCATAAATCATAAAGAGGTACTCCGAACCTGGATATACTAGTCATACTGTCACTTTTATATATTGCTAGCTGATCCGCGCAACTTCTATTCAAAATTTTTCATTATATTTTGCCCAATTTACATATCTTTTTATTTATAGGCCATGACTTATTCTGACGAATAAGCTATATTACTGTAGTTTCTTCAAAATCCGTTCAGTAATTTTTGCGTGAAAGCGTTTATTACTGCGATAATAAGATGTCACCTTAATAAAGTACTTTTGACTAAAAAACAGAATAAATTGTTTTCCCTAACAAAAGTCAAATTTAAATTAAAATTGGCTAATTATTTTAATCAGAAACAATAACACCAGGATATTTTGACAGTGATATATACCATATCGATATAAGATAAACGCACCATTCCGTGCCTTACTATTCTGATACTGTTAATTTTTCAAGAGATCAACTATTTCTGCTAATCTTTTGCCTTTCTTCCGCTAGTTTTTTTAGAGCAGCTGCATATTGCCTTTGAATCTCAAGTAATCGTGAATACTCGTTATGAAGAACGGCTTTTCGATCTTTTTCACTTTTATATTTGTCTTCCACTTTCCTCACAGTCTGATTCACCCAATCAACGATAGACTCGAACTGCGTCATAAACTCTTCTCTTTTTCGAGTTGAAGACATTGCTCTGTAAATGTAAACATATGTAAATTTTACCCATATTATTTTGTTAATGTAAATAAATAAATTTATTAATTCATACTTACTCGTCGTAATTATCCAATATAGAATTAAGCAAACTTAACTCTTTTGATGTATACAACTTCACTTCATACAAGGTATTATAAAATATATAATACTGTTTTGTTTCTCTGTGCTTCGAAGCCACTACAATTAAAAACATTATTACCGTTATTATCAGAAGGTAATAAACAAAAATGGACTGTGATACACATGTGAGTATCATTGCTTGTATCAGTCTGGATGTTTTTACTTATATTATGTATTTATGTATTTAAAAAGATGTATTAAAGTATTTCTATCAGTTCTCTAGTCTAGTACTCTGATGGGCCTGTGTGAATTGTCCTGGGTTATTACTATATACTAGCTGTACCATTGTTGCCTCCTTCCTTTGTCCATGTTATATGTTTATACATATTTATATATTAACTACCTGTACCGGCGACTTGGTCAGTAGCCTAAGTCACGCCTTATTACATCAGTCCTGTCAAAAAAAGTCCAGTCTAAATCGGTCCAGCCATTTCAGAGATTAGCCTGAATAAACAGACAGACAAACAAAAATTGTAAAAAATGTTATTTTAGTGTACGTCCGTATTTATATTCATATGCGTGTGGTAAAAAATGGTTATAATATTAATAATAAATTTATTTGTAGTTTTTGGATATGGAATATTTATAGTTTATGGTTATTTCAATATTACAAACAGACACTAATTTTATTTATATGTATGATGATGATGATGATGATTATTAAAGGCAAGAGATGTAATTGCCAAATATATAGTTTAAAAAGCAAACACCAATACTTCCGCTATATTGCGGACTTTTGACGTCATTTTCGTATATCATATTCCATAGTGGATAATTCAGACAGGCCAAAAGACAGGCGATTGTCTGTTACATTAAATTTTATACTATATTTAAACTTTAGTTCAACTACTTAGACAATTTTTATTAATATTAACTGACCTTGGTTGTAAAGTTCCATGAATCTTTTCTCATATTGTAAAAGTTCTGCAGTTCCTGGTACTTCATCTATATTTAGAGAATATCTCAAAACTTCCCGATTTAATTTTGCAAGCTCTAACCTCATATTTGTGATAAAAGATTTTAATTTCTCCTCTCTTTCCTGGAACTCTTTTAACTCTTCAGGAGTTAACGGTTTGTCCTCTACCACAGTATTTGGATCCCGTGCTAGCCTAGCAAATAATTTTCACACAAGTAAGTAACTGCATACAATACATACAATAAAATACAATACTACATACGTAGGTACAAATTTAATCTTAACTTAGATTATAAATTCATTTATTTTGGCGATTTCACGCTTCGACGACTTTTTTAGTAATTGGAATGACAAATCAGCTTATAGACGACGTTAATAACGTCTAACTACCACATAACGTGCCGCTCGCAATCTCAAACGCTGGATAACAATTGTCAAAATTAAAATCATAATTAAAATTATAATCATAGAATTTATTAATACGCAGATTTCACATAAAAATTAAATCAGACAGCCTGCTTTGATAGATAGTGGTAACTTTCTACTACTGGCATGAACAAAGATAAATCGTTATACTGTGTTTTGGCGCAGTCACTTCATGAGTTCCAATTCCTAAATACGAAGTTATCGCTTTAGGTCTGTGAACTCATTCTACGACAGAAATAGATACCTTAATAGGTAACATGAGCAAAATTCCAGCCAATCCTTAGCTACATGATATTTTTGTAAAGCAATTATATAGTTAGTATAGTTATAGTTAATTGTATTTTGAATCATACTTGACATGTGTTAATAGCTAATAGATACTAAAATTCTAAAAGTGTATATTATAACACTATTCTGCAATAAATAATCATACCTTAGTTCCTCTTCCAATCTCTTACGTTCCTTCTCCCTGTGTTGTATAATCTGAAGAAGTTCATTTCTCTCCTGTGCCAATTCTTTAAGAGATTTATAAAATTTCTTAACATTTTTATCACTGAAAATTAAAAAATATATATATTATTTAAGACTTATTTTATTTATGTATTATTTTAAAGTATTAAACTTTGTTTAGGAATAGTATAAGTCGCTGAATCCGTCTGTCTGCTTCTCCGCTTACTTCTAAATTACACAACAGATTTTGACAAGGTTTTTACTGTCATTACGAGATTTTTTTCCAGTTTTTATATTTCATAATACACGCTCCGTTAGTCATAAAATATCAGTTACATAACTTCCGTAAAATACCATGCACACCGATGGCAAGCTGAGTTGTTTTAAAATAACACATGAAAACAAATACTACATAGTTACATACCAAAATGAAATAGTATTGAGTGGAATTTTAGTAGTAAAAATATTATATAATAATATATATAAAGTACTAATATTTTTAAGTTTACGATTATTTTTAAATAAGGTTAGAAACCAACCTATTGTCATCAGATTTCATTAATTTATTTGTAATTCTGCGTAATTTTTCCACCATACTAGAGTAGTTATTTTTTGCCAACTCTATTCTATCAACATGACCTTTCTTGCAATCTTCTGCCTCTTTTTCCATTCTGTCTATAGCTTCAGTGAGCCTCTCAATATCCTCAGAATATTTTATCCTTTCATTCATTTCGAGTTCCTTAGAAACTTCCCCAGTGAGTTCAGATTGTAATACTGCATAGTGTATTTTTGTTTCCGCTGCATCTTGACTCTCTTGTATATTAGTATACTTATCTGTCTACATAAATAAATAACAAAAACAATTAATATACTCCAATGAATGTTTAACAGTGTTCATAGTTAAAAGATAATATCAAATTTTCGTATAATTTATAATCATATATGAGTATATGTATACTACTTACGATGAGTAATACTCATACAATAAATTATACGAAAATTTCGCAATGCTGAATTGAGTTGTGCACTTTGCGTAATATGCGTAAAACAAATTGATTATTTCAAAAATAATTGCACATAAATACCTTTGTTGTAGTTTCAGATGGATCGGCCAAAGTTTTTTCGTAATCATACTGAAAATAAAGGGAGTGAAAATTACTATTGCATTATTATTATACTACCCTGAAATACGTCCAAGAGGTATAGTGAGGGGAGTTGAAATCTGACTGTTACAAAAAAAAACCTTGTGTCACATGCACACACACAGTCATGATGGTACTTAAGTTCAACTTTTTTTTTTTTTGTTTCAGACTTAAGTTCAACTCTATTTTCCGCATTTAGCCTCACGTCACAAGCTATTATGTGTATTATAGACCTTATAAAATTAAGTATGAATTTATCAATAATTAAACTTACTAAGAAATCAAGTCCTTCATCATTCTTGGTTGTGTCTTTATTTGTAGACACATGCATTAACATCCGTTGATCATATTCCGAAAGTGTAGAATTCACTTGTTCCAACTCATTAACTGGCAAACCACCCTTACGTTTACGCACTCTACAAGGCTTATACAGATGCTAGAAAAAATATAATTACTTTTATCACATTTATCTATTAAAAATGTGTATTAAAATTCAAATTGAGCTAAGGACTAGATTTATATTGTAATAATTACAATTACAAAATCACTGTCACACTACCTCTCCTAAACTCTAACTAATAATTCACCAAGAAAATTTCGAGAGTGTGGCCTACTAAACCAAATTTAAAGACTACAAAATTATAGCAAAAACTAATTCTGACTGAGATAATGATCATACTATATTTTTAATTAATATATAATTACATATTAATGAAAACATATTGTGACTATGAACTTGAAGTAAATATATTTTTTTTTCCTTTTGTATCTTGCAATCGGCTCACCAAGCTTTTAACAGATTTAATGTGGGACTGTTGATGGGAGAGAACTGTACCTCCAGTGACGAAACTGTCTCTATAAGTAAATAAGATCCCATGCATGGAGTCTCTTCATCCTTCTGCATTGCAATGGGTCTCATAGTGCTTAAAAGATACAACTTGGTTGAGATTGGAAGCAAAACTGTTTAATATTCATCATACTTACATAAGTACCCTCACATAAATCAATTTACAAATAATAATCAAACTACCCATAGTTTACATACATAACATATCTCACCCTTATAATCTTTAAGTCTCAATTTACATACTAAATAGATTCATCAATTGAATTACATACTTTTATACACTGTTTTCATACACTCACAGTTGCATGACATACTATGCCCACTACACAAATTTACTTAAGGCACACCAATTATCTCTGGCTACAAATCAGGGTCTGGTATTAATACTTCCGGTGACTCATCTGGTTCAGTATCATCTGGTTGATCCCAGGATGGTCTGCGTTGAAAGCCATTGCAATCTTTACTACCCCGAGCTAAGATCTGATCTGCGTGGCGCCTATGTATTTCTCCATCCTCTGTTCTCACCCTATATGTACTTGGACCCTCTATATCCACAATGGTAGCTCTGAGCCATTTTTGTCCTGACTCATATACACGGATTAATACTGCCTGATTCTTTTTAAAGATTCTATATGGGACCCGGTTTGCTGCTGCCTCGAGTTGATTCTGGGCATCATCTGGTACACAACTCGGGTGTAAATTAGAAATAGCAGTTCTGTATCGACGACCATTTAGAATTTCTGCTGGTGTCTTATTTGTGCTATTTGGTACAGTGCGTAAATGATATAATGTTTTTGAAAGCTTCTCTGACCAAGTTATATTAGAATTGGCATATGTCAACTTCTTAAGTTTATTTTTAAATGTCTGTATAGCCCGTTCAATATGTCCATTCGTGGCTGGATGATATGGAGGTGAGTATTTGTGCTTAATGCCATTCCTCTGAAGAAAAGAATTAAATTCATCTGAGGTAAAAGCCCTGCCATTATCAGATACCAAAATCTCTGGCAATCCTTGTGTTGCGAAAATCTTCCTTAGCACACTTATAACTGTTTCACTGCTCATTGATGGAACAATCTCTGCTTCAAACCACTTGCTGTAACTATCCACCAATACCAGAAATGTTTTTCCTTGGAAGGGTCCTGCAAAATCTATATGCACTCGACGCCATGGTTTTTCAGAAGGTATCCATGTCTGTGGGTCTTTCGGTGGGTTATTTCTGACTTGCTGACAATGTACACACTCTGACACAACTCTCTCGATGTGTCGATCCATATCATGCCACCAAACATATCCTCTAGCATAGGATTTGGTCTGAACCACCCCAGCATGTGGGGCATGTAATAAATCCAAAACTTTACTCTGTAGTGCTTTGGGTATAATGACTCTGTTGCTCCATAGTAAACATCCCTTACTAAGTGAAAGAGCCTCTCTACGAGACCAAAATGGCTCCAAATCTGGATCTGGACATGAACGGGGCCAGCCATGAAGTATATGAAACATAGCCTTCTGTAGAATTGTATCTTTCTTGGTTTCTCCAGCAATTCGTGTCACGTCAAGGTCCCACCCCTCTGGCTGCTCATCCAGCAGTAGCACTTCTCTCAGGTCTTCTTCTTTTAGTGCGGATGTATTTGGCATTGTCCATCTACTAAGGGAGTCTGCATTCCCAATTAATTTTCCTGGTCTATATTTAATATTGTAATTATAACAACCCAGTTTCAGTGACCACCTTAACATTCTTGGTGATATTTGGTCAGGAATGGGTTTTACAGGATTGAAAAGACCAACAAGCGGCTTATGGTCTGTAATAATATCAAATTTACGACCAGCCAGATACTCATGAAATTTTGTGATACCAAATATAATAGCAAGAGCCTCCTTATCAATTTGTCCATAGCGCCGCTCATGTGGCTGAAGAGTTCGAGAAGCCATCATAATTGGTCGTTCTGACCCATCATCCATTACATGAACCATCACAGCTCCTAGACCATATTCAGAAGAGTCACAAATTAACAGCAATGTTCTGTTTAATTCATATCCAACTAATGTCAAATCCGATGATAGAAGACTTTTTGCTTTGTCAAAGGCCACTTGTTCTACAACACTCCACATCCAGGGTTGTTTTAAGTCCAATAGTCTGTACAATGGTTCCAGAATAGTTGCCTTGTCAGGCAAGAATTTTTCATAAAAATTGTACAGGCCCAAAAATGCCCTTAATGATACCTTATTCTGGGGTGCAGGTTTCTCTTTTATCTCCTTAACTTTTAATGGAGATGGATGTAGTCCTTCGCCATCAATCATGTGTCCTAAAAAGGTTATGCTGTCTGATGCAAAGACACATTTTTTTAAATTAAGGCGAAATCCCATAGAATCCAGTTTACTTAATACCATACATAATCTTCCATTATGTTCCTCCATATTTTTTCCACAAACAGCAATGTCATCGAGCAAACATGCTACTCCTTCCATGTTAGCAAATGCTGTTGACATTAAACGCTGGAAAATTGCTGGTGCTGCACTCACACCAAATGCCAAACGGTTCATCCTCATTAATCCCATGTGGGTATTTAGTGTTAATAGATTAGCTGTCTCTTTATCCACTTTCACCTGTGTATATGCTTGCTTCAGGTCAAGTTTACTAAATACCCGTCCTCCACTTAACTTTGCAAAAGCTTCGGCTGATGTGGGCAGTGGGTATGTGTCTGTATTTATAGCAACATTAACTGTGGCACGATAATCCCCACATATGCGTAAGCTGCCATCCTCTTTTTTAACAACTCTAATAGGTGTGGCCCATTTTGAATACTTCACTGGTGTCAAAACGCCATCATCAATCATTTGTATTAAAGTAGTTTCCACCTGTTGCTTGAGTGGAAATGGCACTGGTCGAGCTTTGAAATATTTTGGTGGCATCTCAGGCCGTACATGCAAAGAAACCTCTGGACCAGTATATTCCCCTAAATCATTCTTGAATAAACTTGGAAATTTATTTGTGAGGGATGTTAATTCATCATAGGTCCAGCACAATCCAGAAATATGTATCGCCAGAGGCTTGAACCAATTCCTTCCTAATAAACTTGGCCAAAGGGCCAAGTTTATTAGTTATATTTATGCCTGTTATCACCAACAGCTCACATTGTGCCTCTTTGCCACCAAGACTAGCTCGAACGTTAGCCAGTCCTAACACCTTCAGTGGTTCACGCGTCCATGTCACCAATTTTATGTTGGTAGGAATTAGTGGGGGTGGTGTAACCCATAATTTGTGGTAAGTTTCTTCTGATATTATTGTTCTTGAAGCTCCAGAATCTATTTCCATAGAAAGATTCACTCCATCTATTCTCACCTCTGCTTTAATTACTGGGAGGTTATTCTCCCCACAATTATACACACCCAACATCTCTTCGGCCAAGGATTTTAAGCTTCCCGCCCCACATTCTGTAGTCTGGTGTACTTTTGCCAGTCTCTTTGCACACGCAGAAGCAATGTGTCCATAACGCTTACAGAAGTAACACCTTGCTTTAGCAAAAGGGCATCGTTCGCCAGTTTTGTGTAATTTTCCACAATGTCGACAGTCATTCGATTTTATCCTACCAATTTCCATAGGTTCAGAAACATGGAATGGAGTTTGCTTCTGCACCTTGGTATCGGGGTATAAATCCAAACATGTGGCTTGATAGTTGAGACACAACTGAAGAGCACTTTCATAAGTAAGATCCTTTGTTCTCAATAATTCCCTTTTCAAGCGCACATCATTCACCCCTAATACCAGCCTGTCCCTCAACTGACGTTGTAAGTCCGAAAAGTTGCACTTCACAACTAATAAACTTATAGCTGCTACAAAGTCCTGAATACTTTCACTTTGTAATTGATGACGTTTATGAAATTTTTCCGTTTGTAAAATTTCATTAATTTCCAGTTCATAAAATTTGTCCAAAACTTGCAAAATTTGTGAAAATTCCACTTCAGTTGGTCGATGTGGCACTAATAAGGATACAATTAAACCATAAGTCTCTTTTCCACATTGAGATAAAAACAATGAACGAGCTTTATCAATGTTCTGTTCACCATAGCCAGCGGCATCGAGAGCACACAGTAATTGTTCTTTATAGTCACTCCATTTGTCTGTTTTTGGATTAAAATGTCCCGGAAGCACTATATTATTAATATTTGACATCATTTTCGCAAAATTACATTTATTTTCCTCAGTCGCCATTAAAAGATACAACTTGGTTGAGATTGGAAGCAAAACTGTTTAATATTCATCATACTTACATAAGTACCCTCACATAAATCAATTTACAAATAATAATCAAACTACCCATAGTTTACATACATAACAGTGCTGTTGCTAGGATATTAATGAAGTAAATATATACAGATATAAAATGAACTTACATTTTATACTATAAATATAATTAAAAATTTATATGATCATATTTATTTTTAACACACATTGTTCTAATTAAACCATAACAGTCCTTCCTACCTACTGTCTTTAAATATAACCAGGATATTGTCTGGATAGTTCAGTTCGGTCTAAAGTACCTACATATAAGTAAAAGTAGAAATTAATAGTATCTGTATTTTATTTACTGAATGTGCCCCGTAACGTAAACTTACATGATATATTTTAACAATCTTGTTAACATAACACTGCAATAATTAAAATATTTTTGTAATCCTTATTTTTTATAAATAAGGGCATAAGCCTATAGATTAGTTTTAAATGTATATTGTGGATTTATATCATAAAAAAAATATTATTAAGATTATAGCACTTGATATTGTAAAATCAAAAAAGAGAAGAAGCTAATAAATACCTGAACAATAGCTAGATTTTTTAACAACTTTTCCTTCTGAAGAAACAGTGCTCTATCAGATTCAAACATGTAATTCTTTTCATACTGCATTACAGCAAATTTCCGTAGCTCATCTTCCTTAGCTTCCCTGAATTCACTGGAATACTTTATCAACCACAAAATCAATGGAAATATATTAATAAAATCCAAACCCTGTATTTGATGAGGTTCAATTACATGTGGACACTTCATTGTTGGTAAAACTTTAACAATTTTCTCAGTTAATGCTCTGAAAAGGTAAAAGAAATTCAATTTAGACAAAATAAAAATGTACATTTCCAGTTATATTATAATAAATATAATAATACCAGGTAGATTATGAAGAAAGAATACACATTTTCTGTACATTTAATCAGTAATCAGCAGTAATAAAAATTGTGATTGTAACTTATTTCTGTGCTTCTATTTACCCCTAAGTTACTATTATTTAAATGTCCATAAAAAAACATATAAAAGTAAATGCAAATTACTGTTAAGCTGTGAGGCAGCATGTTCTGTGTTATCTAAATGTGCTATATATTATATAATTCTTAGCAATATTAAGAGGAGAGCCATGATAATCAGTTTAGAAGGAAACAATTAATACAAAAAAAAGCATTAACAGGCGCATAAGCTGAAATAGCTTACAGTATACTAACATCTTTTTTCCTATTGTAAGGTTTTCTTCAAATAAAAGACTAACATCCACATCTATATCGCATAGTTCGATGCACCAAGTTAATCCTCCCACTATCTTGTCAAAAGGTGACAGACCTTGGAGTTGGGCACGGTAATAACCAGCAGCCACCAGCGCATCCGATATTTCATGCCATTTCACTAATTGCTCGGCATCTTCTCTGACTTCAACCTGTAGAATTTTATATGATCCGATTAATGGACAGCTGCTTACCACAATTATCTATTACATATCTGTATAATATCGCTTCCTTACCTCTTTTCCTTCATGATCTATTGAGCTATAAATGTTCATCAAAGGTTTGCTTCTTGTGAATATGTTTTTTTTCTTCGTTGCCATTTTTATAAGAACGAATAACGTATGAAATTATAAACAAGAAAATTCGAATAGGACATGCATTTAGTTGGGCAGATCTTTTTAATTTTTTACCAAATTATGCAGGGATAAAATTTTTATGTTATCAAATTACATTATTTCGATGAAAACAAACAATCAATCGGCGACAGAGGTCTTACTACAGCACAGAGTATTATGATTTTTTTTTTTGGTTCGGTTATTCCCTTTATAGGGAAAGGCAAAAGGACTCAGCCCATACAGCCATTGTCTACAGTGATATTTTCTTATATAATTTTTTTTTCCAATAATTGTCTTCAGAAGTTACAAATCTTGAAAAGTTGATATAACGTACTCAAAAATGGGTTTGTAAGTTTCTGGGTTCTTCAATAGATTCTGGATGGAGCGCGGGATCTCCATTTTATCATATATATTGATCAATTTATCAATAAATATTAATTGCTGGATTGCGAAATGTTGACAGTCAAAAAACAAGTGATCTAATGATTGATCTTCGTCGGTAGAACAAAAGTCACATAGAGGAGACGAAACCATTTTCATCCTATGCAAATGCTTTTTATATCTTCCATGTCCAATTCTGAGACGACATAAAATTTGTGAGGGAAGTTACCTCCGAACTTCTCACGTTAACAGAGTAACTATAGTGGTGTTCAAGTAAATAACGTAGAATAAGATAAACAAAATATATTTCTAATCAAAATAAAATAATATAAAAACACATTTAATACAATATACAGATAAGTTATAGATACATCAATACGACGACAGACAAGATGACAAAACACACTCTCTTTTCAAATATTCAAACATACTTCATCTGCCATACCAGCCAGTCTAGACATCGATTGCAAACCTCGTTCTAACACTCTTCCTCAATCGTTGCCTTCAGACTTTCTCTCAGTAGCATACTCCTCACAATCCTCTCACACACAAACTAATCCACAACACCCATCTCACTACGACAGAACTCATGCTTGCCTCTATGCACTGTCTTTGTCATAATATCAGCAACCATTAACTTTGTCTCCAAATATTTCAAATCTATTACTCCATTCTCTAGAGTCTCTCGCACAAAGTGATAACGTACATCCACATGTTTGGTTTGCTGATGGTGTACTGGATTATTTGCTATCGCTATAGCAGACTGACTATCTGAGTGGATTGTTAGCGGTGGCTCTTCCTTACCCAAGAGTTCCTCTAGGAAACGCTTTAAAAAGACAGCTTCTTTGGAAGCTTCTGACAGACTGACATATTCAGCCTCAGCGGTTGATATGGCAACACTTCTTTGTTTAGTGCTTTGCCATGAAATGGCTCCTTTTGCCATCTTAAATACATTTCCGGAATAGGACTTTCTGTCGACTAGATCATGTGCATGATCAGCATCACAGAAACCTTGAACTGTTCCTCGTTCATCCCTGTAATATACCAATCCCAAACTTTTCGTACCTTTAAGGTATCTCAGGATCCTCTTCGTTGCTGTCCAGTGAACTTCCTCAAAACAATTGCAAAATTGACTCATAAAATTCACTGCGTGTGCAATATCGGGTCTTGTACATACAGAAAGATACATGAGTGAACCTATAAGTTCCCTATATGGAACTTTCTCATCTGGCCTATGCATATTGTCTGGTTTTATAAAATGTTGACCAGGAACAGCTGGAGTGGCAACTGGTTTGCAGTCTTCCATCCGAAATTTGCGTAAGAGTTTTTCTATATACTCTTCCTGATCTATTTTAATGCGGCCTTTCTCTTGTCTGAGCCTCATGCCCAAGAACAACTCCGCCTTTCCTAAATCCTTCATTTCAAATTTTGACATCAAGTCACTTTTAACTTTTTGCATTTCTTGTGAATTATTATAGAGGATAAGAATGTCGTCTACATATACTATAAGGATGATAGAATTCTTCTCTGTTCTCCTTGTATATACACAGGGTTCATTCTTGCAGCGCTTGAAGTTTAAGCTCTCTAGCTCGGTATGTAACTTCAGGTTCCAGGAACGTGGTGCCTGCTTCAAACCATACAAAGATTTCTTTAATAGACATACATAATCCTCTTTACCTTTTTCTTCAAAGCCTGGTGGTTGCCTCATATAAACAACTTCATTGAGATTACCATTTAAGAAAGCTGTTTTGACATCCATGTGGTCTATCTGTAGACCATTTTGCGCAGCCAAAGCTATCAACTGTGAGGGAAGTTACCTCCGAACTTCTCACGTTAACAGAGTAACTATAGTGGTGTTCAAGTAAATAACGTAGAATAAGATAAACAAAATATATTTCTAATCAAAATAAAATAATATAAAAACACATTTAATACAATATACAGATAAGTTATAGATACATCAATACGACGACAGACAAGATGACAAAACACACTCTCTTTTCAAATATTCAAACATACTTCATCTGCCATACCAGCCAGTCTAGACATCGATTGCAAACCTCGTTCTAACAAAATTGAATAGAATTTCCTTTCCGCATATTTTCCTTGAACGAACCATGGCGGTTTAAATTCTTGTTGTATTTCTCTGAACCATTTACCTTTAACTTTTATGGATTCTTCCCACTGTTGTTTCCATTTAGTTTTAATTGTTTTTCTTATTTCAACGATAAAGTCTGAAGCTGGAATTAACATGTATTTTTCTTTTCCTTGAATTTTACAGTTTGTGACGAACCTAGCCAGTTCATCAGCTTTTTCGTTGCCAGTGACATCAACGTGAGCTGGAGTCCAGATAAGGTTAATATCCATTATAAGGCGTTTTTTAAAATCATATATTTTCCTTTGAATATTTTGTATAACAAAAGATGTTTTACTAAAAGAAACGTTCGCAAGGGCCAACGAGACACTCATGCTGTCCGTTAATATGATCCATTTATCATTATTGTTCGTTTCACCAATATACATAGTCAAGAGCTGAAATAATAGCTTCAGCAGTAAATATGCTCGATTTATTCGATATTTTTGTACCGAATGAAATTTTTTCCTTGTCATCATAAACAGCAATAGCCTTGCAGTCTTTATTTTTAGCTCCATCCGTATACACATACCTATAATTGTTCCATTGAGATATGTAATCATAGACATATTTTTTGTGTAAATTCTTATTTATAAAAATGGGGGTTTTAAAAAAATTACAATCATATAAATTGCTATTGTGAACTAATTTTGGATTAATAAATATGTTGGAGTTACGTAGACTTTCAATAAATTCAATTATATTAATAGAGAGGAAATTATTAGGATGGATTTTTTAATTTACAGAGTATTATGATCTCTTGAGTAGTATATTCTTGTATTATGATCTATGGACTATGGACTACAGAATGTATCATGTCATTTCATCTCTGCTGTCAACAGTGTCTCGACTAACCACAGACCATTAGAGTGCCTCTGTAGGTCGTCAAGCTGCACCCTATAGCAGGGTCGGTTCTCTTAATAGACCAACTTTTGATGTGCACACATGTAAAGATTAGCATGTGTGCGTGTGCTAATGTATACCCTTCTAGAAAATAAAAATAGTCTGTAATTACAACAATACATAATATGGTAACATTGGTACAGTAACAGTTCTTTATGACAAACAAAAATCTGATTTCCGGTCGGCATTTAACCTCCATCCTTTGTTATATTGATTTGTATTTATTTACTATATTTGTGTACTATCCTTTAGCCACAAAACTCATTAAATTGCTTTTTTAGTATAGTACCACAGATAACCAAATATTACGTAATAACATGCTTGGTAGCAACGAGTAATTATAACTAATGTAGAAGATTTCAAATTTAAGGGCAGTTTAGTTGATATTATTAGTATTACTATCAGAAATAAATATTATAAATACCATAGATTTCCGAATCCTACAAAGTGAGTTATAAAATATTTTCTAATACTACTTAGACATTATATTTTTTATTGGCAACCCATATAAAATTAAAATTTACGATAATATTAATATATACACTTTTAGGAAAAAAAATCGTGTGCAATTTCAATAATACGTAATAATTCTTTATAAGTTTCCAGGGCCGTAAAACAACTCAATAAAAAAGAAACTTCTTTATGATAACAAAAAGTTTTATTTATTTCTGATTTCCGGTTCCGGTCTGCATTTAACCGCCATTACTGCTATTGAGTGGTATTTATTTTCTCCACATTTAATAACTGATATCTCTACCACAATTTCTTAGAATTTGAGTGTTTTAATATAATAGTGAAAGGACGTTTTTAGTTTTAGTGTTCTACGACAAGACGTTTCAACTATTACTATAAAACTTCTTTTAGGATAATTTAGATTATTTGATTTACTTTGATATATACTATGTTTATTTTTAAACAATGAGTAACAGGAATAATTATAGAAAGTGTGCAAAGTGTTATAGAACACGCGCTGAAGACGTAACTGTGACCTACCATAGGTTTCCAAATCCTGGAGCTGCAAATATTACAAAGTGAGTTACAAAATATGTTTTATTACCACTCAGGTCTATGGCAACATGATACATAAAATACCTGTAAATTATTAATTCTCCATAAATAGAACAGAGTGGATAAGTTGATCAGTTGTACAGATTATCTATGATAACATGACTTGCTCCTCCATGACTTAGGTGTATTATTATCAAATTGCATGCCTATTTAACACCATAGTTTGATATGTAATAACTTTAATGCACACAGTACAGAAGATAAAAGTATATTTGGTGAACTTAATACCATGCTGTGTTTTCTACCAGTCAACCACAGATATGGAGAGACAATTGTTGGCAGTGCAAATATAAAAAAAATTAAATATATGCATAGCAACATTATGTGCCTATATATTTACAATAGGCACATACATACATTAATCTGGTGCACTTACATTATAGTATTCTTATACCTAATACTGCTTGCTTTGTAATAGCGGTATACAGATAATTATAATAAATATTTGTTCTATTTGCAGAGCTTGTGCTTGGGCTAAATATTGCTGGCCAAATGAAGACTAGGGCTCTTTGGAGTTCTTAAAGACTCTCTATAATAAAAACAAAGTTTTGTGCGGAAGACACTTTCATTCGTCTCAATTTTATGACAATCAACGGCAAAAACTTAACAAATTTGCTGTTCCTGATATTACTGATATAGAAAATCAGGTACAATAACATTCTTTTCATATTGGAAGTGGTCACTTTCTTGAGGATGCTACTAATGTTAAGTTCATATGAAAGAGTAAACAACACAACAAGCATATACAATACTGTACTTGTTGTTCATTCTATGTAATTTTTTAAGTGTTAATGAAAAAATAAATAGTTTATTATGTTTATCTACTCTGATGAGTCTCCTAAAATATAATGTAAATAAATAAATTATCCTGGACAATTAACAAAGCACCATCTAGTCCCACGGTAAGCAGAGCTTGTGTTATGGGTACTAAACAACTGAT